CTCCTTGTTCTAAAAACTGAAACTATGAGAACCGTTGAAGAGCATAGAAATCCGTTTTGGAATGATTTACATGAAGATCAAATAAAGTTTTAATCTTTGATCTTCGATTTTAATTCTAGTTATAACGAAACACAGATCATACAGCGATTAATTTCGATCAGGAATCTTAAAACAGCTAAATATAATACCCGTGTCGTCGCTTACCAATCAGTGTCAGGTGAATCGATGACCAGAAGAATTTTCATCTTTTTCGCGGCGGGCGAGCCTCTCGGCGGCAAAGACGAAACTTCTTCCTTCGAATCATGCTTCGGACTTGAAGGTGAAGTAAAATTTGTCGTCCGCTCTTGGCTATCCGAACGAGAAGGGCGTAGGTTGCTCAAGTTCACTCCACCTGATATCTTCAACTTCTGCAAAAACTCCATCTTTCACGCTGTCACCACACTTGAGCTTTGTTTAAAATTCTTGAAGACTTGTAATGTAGAAGGTTATTAAAAGAACTTCTCAAAACACACGCTTTGAGCAGAGAAATTAGGCTCTATTCTTCCTTCACCGCTCAATCTGTTATTTCCGTTGGGCTCGATTCTTCAAATCGATAATTTTTTTTCCTGTGTCGAACACGCAACAAACCCTTCACAATTCCGTCGAACAGCCAACTCGTAGTTCGGTGTATTACCCTAGCAATTGCTTGGGCAAAACCCAGGAATACAAGCGCGTTGTGTATTTTTAAAATATTCAGACAACACTCAACCGGTGCACCTGTTCCACGAAACCATTGAAGGACAATTCTATTGTTTGCGCACCAATTGACAGCGGTGACCAATTCATTGCATATTCTAATGCAAAAGCAACAAACGAAGCCTTTGGGGCTTCTAATGGAAGAACTCAGCATGAACAAGATTTTGAGACACCTTTTAGACCAGCTTTTAGCAAGTGGAAAAACTCGAAACAGTTCTGAGTACATTTTTAACTGCGTGAATTTTATGGTGCAGTTTGGAAATCCGTTTCAAGAAATATTTACAGAAACAAAATATTTAATTAATATGTAACTGTCAAATATGAAAGCAAATAGAACCCTACAAGGAAACGAAACTTTAACTGACAATTTCATTTATTGACTATGAACAATTTTATTTTGTCGCCACGATGCAAAACACATTGATCAACATTGAAATTTTATTGCAGTTTAAAGTCAATTTTAGCGCGTCACAGAAGATATAACTTCTAAGACTTCAGTATTTCGCTGAAAGCTATTAGGTCTTGAAAAGAATACATAACCAATAAATAATCACATCACCGGCCTTAACTTCTACAAACTTGTAAGAAAGATTAGCTGTTAACATAAAAAGACACTATGAACTACTTCTGAAACAATTTTTGAACACTCTTAAAATCACAACTATTTGTGCGACAGAAAGGTAAAGTTTATATTGTCTGAATGAGGCCTCCTCGCCACAAAGTCTGGACAAATAAAACGTTGTTCATAAAATTACCGTTTGTTTTTCGAAGAACTCCATCTTTGTTTTCTTAAAGAAAAATATATATTTAAAATCGCGCGATGTGTACGCGTGAGCGCAGAATGCCAATGAAGTCAAGTTTTGATGTTCGGACAACGAATAATCATACGCAATTTTTTGTAAAAGCAAATGTTTTAAACAATGTTAATATCGATTAAACTCTAGACCTTTACTGCTAAGTCGTAAAAACATTGCAGCTTGCAGATGTCCGCTAGAGAAGGTCTCTAAATTGAAGGCTTCTGCTGCAAATATTTTCACTTGCCAAGGCGACCATAAAAAATTGCTTGTAACAAATGAAGCCACTGGTGTATTGCTAAAAAAAATTTTTCGGCGTGATTTTTCCAAGTTAAACTTATGAAAAGAATAAAAAAACTTACAGAGCATAATTAAGACGAGCAAGTTTTTCCCCTCGACAAGTCTTCATTGAACAACCTCACTAATCATGTCCCTGGAAGACCCTGCTGAATATTGTCGACAACCGAAGAAAACAAACTGCACTGTCAAACTTGCATCATTGAAAATAAGGAACCAAGAAAATATAGGAAAAGCTGAAAGATGAAAGGAGTTTTCCTCCTCCTCTGAATTTTCAAATTACCCGGCCATTTCTTCTTCATAACTTCCCATTTCCTCCTTCCTTCTTTTCCTTATTTCTAATTCATTCTCATTTTCTTTAAGCCTATTTCCCTTCTCACCCTAAGAACAGTCCGCGACCCAGTAAGAACGCCTAACTAAAATGGGAAAACATTATCAAAAGTAAATAACGGAAAAAAAAAATCGTGTAAAGGAAGAGGGTCGATTTAATTGGTTGAATTCTTAGACAGCTGAAAAAAATTCTTGCTAAAGAAATTTGAAAAAACCTCGCTACAGTCCGATGTGGTTGATCGAGTGAGTTCAGTTGTGTTACTGACCTAAGGGTCACGCCAGAAGCTGTCACGCCAGTAGACTGCAAGAGTCGACATTCCAACCATTCAGTGGTTTTCTCTCCTCCCAATTTGCCATTAACGAATCCTTTAACATTTAAATGAAGATAAACAGCAGTGTAGAGAATAACTCCTCAAAAGACAAAATTAAACATAGCTCTTCCAGCGAATCACACAAATTAGACCGAGCCCGTTGACTTGGTTCTGTCCCGGTGTACCGGTTCACAAGGGAATTACCATGGTTCTTTCTTTGTTTAGGAGTTATGGGTTAGCTATTGTGTATTGTTTGGTCTTTTGTATTGGCTCTTGTGAACCGGTACACGAGGACAGAACCGTTGACTTGGATCGAGAAACGCGTGCAAGATACAGCTGAACAGCTCAAGAACTTCCAAAATTTGGTAACAAACAGTCCTTCAAAAACAATTCTTCCCTTAGTAATCCAAAATTACTTTTAAAGCGAACCTTTGACGCAGCTCTGAGAAGAAAATTTCACTGCCCCTCAATCCCGAAAATGTGAAGCCACCAAGCTCGACCAATCCTATGACGTCACCTCTTAGAGTGACATGTGGTGTAGAGCTCAAGCTGCTCGAGGCTAATCAAAATATGCGACACGTGAAAGGGACTTTCCCTCACCAGTTTCAAAGCTTCTCAAACAACAGGTACACTAAGTAGCTGAATTATTGGTAGGACGTTGTAAGGCGGGAAAAGATTTTAATATCGTTAACCTAGAGGCTTGCGAAAGGGTCGAACGAATTTGCAGGATCGTTCGCCATGTGGTGGAGTGTCTGTAAACTACATTTCAAGGAAAAGAAGGGCTGTTTTGAAAGACGGTTTTGACATTTGAAAACAACCCTAATCAACTTCTATAAAAAGAGCAAAACTGGTCATGGATAGAACTATTAAAATGCTCAAAATGGCACTTGGGTTGATGGCAAATTATTTACTTGAAATTCCATGAAGAAATTCCTTCAGTTAAATTTTTGGGTTTATAGATATTGAAGAAGTGTATTTGATTTTCGATACTTGCCCATTTCAGTTTTGAGAAAAAAACTGAAAAGTGTTAGAAACACCAATTTAAGCTGCCAGACATCGAATCCCGTTCAGATATTTGTTTCATTAAGTACTTCCCGACATGGCGACAACTTGCATCGTCTTGATCATTCTTCGCTTTTCTTCTAAAGTTTAGGTTATGTATCGTCGATACTGAAAATCATTTTACCAAGTAACTACAGCTGAAATGCCAACTCTTGACGACATAGTTGAAGGCTCTGCTGATAAAAGCAAACAGCAACTGCAAGAAGCATTAGTGGAGCTACTCAGAGGGAATCCAGAGATTTTAGATTCAGTCACGAAATCTAAGTCAGAGACGCAACAGGATAAGAAGAAAGTTGTAAGTTTATTTTTAGATTTTTTACATAAAGATAAAAAAATACCAAACGCTAGCCTCAAGATAGCCTTGCACTGGAATTTTTACTAGGGTATATTCCTATTAACACTCTACACCCTAACATCAGTAGGCATATTCTCCATACTTTTCTCCATATATTTCCTATGGTATTGACAAAGAGAGTTTGTTCAACAATCAAGAGCTTTTTGAGTTGGTGATCATTTCCTGTTTTCTCATAACCTTGATGTTTGATTTAGCTGTTATACTGTAAAGAGAAATTGGATGCTAGTCACTGTGAGGGGTGAACAGGTTACCCCACTGAACTTGCGAAGATATTGATATGTAACTTCATATAGGTAATCGCATGGGGCTGAGTAAAATTAAGGATTAATATCACGATTGTTTTCGGAAGTTGCTGAAATTGCCCGAGTCGCGCAGCAATGAGGGCAACTTCTGCAACTTCCGAAAACACAAGTGATATTAATCCTTAATTTTATGAGGAACCATGTGATCACTTGTTTATAATATAAGGGACAAAATGTTTTCTTACTGATCTCATGCAAAATGGGACACCACTGTAACAAAACAAACAGAAATTTCTTTACCTTGGCAGCCGTTGCTAAGCGATTTTCAACCAATCATTTTCAAGTAATTTTGCCCATAGCAATTACAATTTTGCCCCTTATGTGATAAAGTTTATTATCCAACTGTGCTTCATAGAGAGCAAATAACATGCAATACAAGGACAAATATCACGTAATATTTGTACTCCAGAAATCTGCAAAATTTGCCCCCACTCAGTACAGAATTGTGCCCATTGAAAATGTCATATGGGCAAATGCAAATAAGCTAGAAAAGAGAAAGAGAGCATGCGTAACTTCACGCAGGCCTGTCAATCCGACTGTCAATCATGTAATCCCCATGTACACCGTGTTCGTAAGTATTGTTTCTTGCTCAGACAACCAAAACGTAGTGCTATTCATCGAAGAAGATTAGACGTAATTAGTAGTGTTATCCTGATTAGGCTATATTGTTAAAAAATCAGTCAGATGTAAAATTAAATTACCTTTTAAATGTCAGGTTTTTAATTTGTATTAAGACTGAAATGCAGCAGTTTTACAAGGTTTGACCATCAATTTTGCCATGAAAGCAAAATAACATCACAGAAATATTCCTTTTTAGCCCGTTATTGCCATCAGTTGTAAATACTAATTGCTCCAATTGTCTCCATTGTCTCTAAACAGACACAAAGCGAAATTTTATAACTCCCATTTGGGAATTCATCAATTCAGATCTTAAGAGAACAAAGCTGGCAGTGAGCTTTTGCAACCTCATTCCCAGGTCATTGTGCCCACAAAGCATCGTGGGTACCCCACTTTTCCCGCGTGACATTTTTCAATGGGTGTGATTCTGTAATGGAAATAATAATTTGGGGTGTTGGATAATAAATCTCTTATGAGACATTGTTTGTATTTTGACTCACCCTATGGGCTCATCAAATGACAGCACAACTTTTAAAAATACTCAAACAGAGATACTACACAACAAAACATCCAATGAGATATATGACTTATTCAGTAGTTGTGTATCAGCTACTGTAAGTGCAATATCTCAATTGTCTATAACGAAACTCTATAACAGCTAGAAAGGAGAACTCCAAATCAAATCAGGGGAATTAAAGAGATAAGTCTTTGATTCTTGGAAGTTATCATTATCTTATTCTCTAATTGTTGTCAATCAACCCCTCACTTGACAATGAGGATGACCTCTTCCCATCTTGTCAAAATGTCAGGGACAACTAGTGACAACAGCGCTTCTCAGGATTACTCTCACCTGGACAATCAGACGATACAATCATTTTGTATTTGTAATTAAAGCCTGGTTCACATATAATCGCAGATGATCGCTGGCCGACACAAACTATCCCAGGTGATCGCACGATTGCTGAAACCACTCAGCCGAAGATCGCTAATTGCATGTTCACATATGATGGCAGCCAATTGCAGGGATTTGTGACAACCGAGTCTATGGTTTACCATTCAGCGGCAATACAATGTAACTCCAGTAAAGACTTTATTTTACGAGGGTAACACATAATAGCATAGCTAATAAACTTGTGGCCCTCACTCAGAAATAATTACAATATAAAAACTAGTATAATACAATATGAAAATAGAAACTAATATAATATAATATAATTACAAGATAAGTAAAGAAACTAATAAAATGTATGAATATATACAATATAACTAGTAAGAATGACTAGTAACTAGTAGTAGTAACTAGTCAACCAACATAAAGGCAAAGGACGCTGAACTTTTAATTGGTGTCAACATTCTGCTTCTGTCGTCTTTACTTAAACGGAGAATCACTGCCTGATCAAAGAAGAAATGTTGCTTCTTGGTGCAGAAAGTCTTAACAAAGAGAGAATTCTTTGCTAAAGCAATTGAGCAAACAATCATATTTTCTAATTTCTTCCATAAACTGTTCGATGTCAATTTCACCTTCCATCTTGTCAAAACCCACGCACAAAAAGTTGATAAAAAACTGGTTGTCATGGTATCATGCTGCTTGCATAGCATTATTGGACACATTCCTATTGCATGATCACAGAACTTTGTTCACAGATAATCGTACTCGATCCCAGACGACCACAACCGATCGCACGAATAGGAAATGGTTCTATTCCTGCGATCGCACACGATCACAGAGCTGTTCACATATATTATAATGGCAGACGATTGTTGGCAATTGAGTGCGATCGCCTGCAATCGTCTGTGATCATATGTGAACCAGGCTTAAAAAAAGGGTCACCCCTGTATTCTGTAGGAAATTCATTACCTGACAAGGGAATTCCATGTTAAATTGCTTGTGAAAAGCAATGTTGCATGAATCACGAGGGGATGAGTGCACTATCGGTTTTCAAGTGCATTCTTGAATCAGGTTATGGATTTTCCATGAATATCCCATTTTTTAGCAGAAATAAAAAAGAAAAAGAAAACAGCAACAATGTTTGTTTTTATCCTGAGCATGAAACAAGAGATGGCAAACAATATTGCCTAGTGGCTTTTTTCAACTCACAATTCATCACTGAGTACCTTGCTTTGTTGACCAATCAGAATGTGAGATTTTATTCAATTATGAAATCTGTAGACTGCAAGATGTGCAAATGAGCAAGATGGACAGATACAGAGAAGCTCATCAGTGTCCTACCCTGAACTTGAAAACCACCTTAACCAGTCCCAAAGACCCAGATATCAGTGGCAGTTGTCTGACAGCGGTGAGAATTATTGAAATTTGTAATCAATACATGTTTGCATTAAAGTCTGTACCTGATTCAGGTGGCCCATTTAGCCTGAGCTTAATATCCTGGTTTCCAAAAAGCACGAAGCAATTTAGAGTACAGTGGTACCTTGATTGAACGAAATGCCAAGGGACTGAGGAAATTGGTTTCTTATATCAAGGTTCTGTGGCATACATTTTACTGTAACTTTAACCGGGCTGAAACTGAAGTATGGTTTGTTATACCGAGGACTTCATTATCTAGTAGTTCGTAAAATTAAGGTTCCGCTGTATTACTGCTCACCTAGATGGGATGCCAGTTCATCACATGGTAACCCCCCACCCCCCACCCCCAGCATTTCATCAGGCTTACCTGACAAGTCACCAGTACCAATTTATACTCCTGGGTGGGGTGGAGAGAGGCACTGTGAAATTAAATTGTTTTGCCTGAGATCATGACACAATGACCTGGCTAGGTCTTTAACCTGGACCTCCTAATCCCTTTTAACTCCCAAGATCTGTCTTGTAATTCTCTCCTCTAGCCACCACACATTTCCTCATAAATAAGTTTTAAGAATTTGGTGTTAGATCAAGATTGTAATCTCAAACTGATAAGTTGGAGTATTCTCCTTAGCTGATTGTTGGATACTCAGTATGGCTATAATCTGGAGAAATTACCGTATTTGTCCATGTATAAGTCCACCTTTTATGACCAAAAAATCAGCCCAAAAAATCACCCCCTACTTATTCACAGGTCATATACAAAGACCTGACCCAAGCAATCCAAGAAATTAGCGTAACAATTGCCCGAAGTCCATTAGGTAAACCAGGTTTACAAAACCAGTTCTAATTGTGTTTGAGTTTCGTTGGTTTTTATCGCATTCTTCATCAACAAAAAAGTTTTAAATAATAAATTTTACATGGCTTAAACAGAAAACTACTGGAGCTGGCTGATTGCTATTGTATCTTCTGATCTGTAGAGCAGACATTTTTCCTTTTAACTTTGCTTCTATTTATGCTGCAGAACTCTCATTTTCATTGAAGGCTTACAGTAGCTTAGTGACCTTGCTAATGCTGTTTTCTCACGCAGTCTTGTCTGATATGGCAGTGTTTTCATTAAGTGATCCTATGAAGCTTTTCTGTGTTCCTTTGGTCTACTAAATCTCCTTTCAAACTCAACATTAAGATAAAGGTTAGTTAAATGCATGGCAGTTTCATCTTCAAAGCGATTTACAAAATATGGTAAATTACTGCTCCTGTAAATCGCTTACTTAAATATGTTGCCAATGAATTGGCTAACCTTGTCTCTTGGTTATTTAATTTATCGTTTACATGGGCCATTGTCCTTCAACTATGGAAGCAAGCTAACATTTTCCCAATTCATAAGGATTGTGACACAGGTTCAGTTACTAATTATAGAGGGATTTCATTACTATCTGTTGTTGGGACATGTCAAGAAAGGATCATTCATACTGTTATATATGACCAGGTGTTTCAATATTTGCATGATTCCCATCATGGCTTTCTGAGAGGGAGGTCTACTGTTTCTCATTTAGTTTTAGTACACAATGATTGGGCCAAAGTTATGGATAATCATTAGGGAAAGTTGATGTTGTATTTCTGGATTTTTCTAAGGCTTTTGATTTAGTTATAATCATTCTCTCCTGATACAGAAGTTAAAATCAATATGGTGTTGGGGGGGGGTGGGGGCAACTTCTCAAATGGTGTAAAGATTATCTGAGAAACCAACAACAGAGGGTAGTTGTACGTGGAGGGACTTCTGATTGGCTGACAGTTACATTGGGTGTACCCCAAGGGTCAATTCTGGGACCGTTGTTTTTTATAATTTATATTATGATTTGCCTGGTGTGGTTTCTGATGACAATAAGATAGTTCTTTATGCTGATGATAGTAAACTTTATAATGTTATTCACTCTGTTCATGATCAAGAGTGCTTCCGGCAGAACCTAAATAAGATCAATGAGTGGTGTGTAAATAATAAGATGAGGATCAATGCCAGTAAATGCAAGGTTATGAGAATTACCAAAGAGAGGTCCCCTTTTACCTACGACTATCACATTGATGGGACTAAACTCGATTCGGTTTCTTTGCATAGAGACCTGGGCTTGTTAACTAGTGATGTTCTCTCTTGGAATTAATTACCTTATTGCCAATATTACAGCTAAGGCAAATAGTATTTTAGGCCTTATCAAAAGAACATGTCGGGATGTCAGTGATGTCACAACTCTTAAGACTCTGTATTGTAGTTTTGTGAGGCCCAAGGTTGAATATGCCTCTCAGCTGTGGAATCCTTCTACGAGGAGTCACTTTAGTCGTGTAGAGTCAATTCAAAGAACAGCAACCAAGTTTATTCTTAAAAGTGATGACAATTATTTGGTTAGGCTACGTGAAGTCCACTTGTTATCTTAAGAGGGTAGGAGATTTATTGCGGATGTTGTTTTCTTTTATAAGGTTGTTAATAATCATGTTTGCCTGACCCTTGATTCAAGGGTTCGGTTCTCTAGGGATGTTGACAGGGGATATGCATTGAGAAGTATGCATGGATACTCCAAACCTTTTAACCAGCTTTTCTAAGACTAATTTATTTAAATTTAGCTTTTTGAGGAGAATAGTTGGGGGAATGGAAAAGTCTCCCTCTTGATATTCGAGAGGCATCATCCGTGGCAGATTTTAAGTTGAAGGTTTCTACATTTTTAACTCGTTGAATTTCTGTATATACATTTTTTCTTTTTTTTCCTTTTATGTTTGTATAGTAGTAGGTCCTATAGATAGGTTGGAGTTTCCTCCTAGAATGGTTCTGCGGCACTCTTTGAGGATTCTTCCCATTTAAACACATCACGTAAATATTTTTATTGTTGTTGTTGTTGAAATAAAGCTTAATACATATATGCTTCAAGTGTGAATCGTGGTCATGTAAACAAGTGCTACTAAACTTCACAGCACACGGTTACATTTTGCTCAGCAGTTTCTTTTTAATTCACCGTGTTTTCAATACATTCTCAGAAGTAAGAGATCAACCATTGGGGAAAATTCTATCAGTGTGAATTTTTCTTTTTAAAACCAGAAATGATGAAAAATCGATTTTTGACCTTGAAAATGGGGGGTCGACTTATACATGGATAAATACGGTATGCGTTAAACACTTCTGGGAGTTACAGGGTTATCCTAGAGTCCAGCACACTTGTCATTAAGCCACCCATGATAAACTAACATGGACTGATTAAATCTGTAGTGACTGCGTGTGTTGTTCAAAGCCAGGAAAAGGCTTGAACAGTCTGCAAATTTCCAAGTCTTGGATTTTCATTCTGCAATCCCAAAATCTGAGCTTTTAAAATAGCTTCTAAAACACTACAAAAAAATTTCAGCTTAGTTTGTCCATTTGTTTAAAGTGATCAATTCAAAGAAAACACACCAGTGTTTTCCAAACCATTTGAATGTACATGTAAGTAGTGTAAGTGTTAGGTGTTTTTAATTGGAGTTCAATGGACAAAAAATGTCACAAACTGCCTTTGCATTATTGTGGTCATTTATGAGCTATCCTAGTGCTTTGAAAGGTTTTGAAAATTGTATTTGCCTTTTGCTCTTGCAATTTCAAATTCTTTTAAAACATCACTTTTTCAAAAATCATGGAGTGCACTCACATTCATTCATTTAGATGATGGCATAGACTCTGCATGGACTACTTCGACAAAACATATGTCACCTCGTGAACTTTGCAAATGGCGCAGTGGGCTTTATTCTGTATACACAGGACATCTACCTCATGACATTACAAAGGTAATGGTTAAAAATGTGCTTTTTTGAACTTCTAGATTTAACGGCTTTGATTTGCAGTTACAAGTGCCAAATGGTATCTTGGAAATCATAGGCCTTGGAGAGTTGTAAACTGATCGTAAGATCGTGCCAGCATTAAGTTGTAACTGGTCTTGAAGTCTGAGTTTTTTTCAAAGGTTTTTAGTTTGACATTTTCCCTCTTAAACCTAGGTCTACAGAGTAGAGTTCTGGTTGCAAACAACATAGTCTGTGTATCATATGCACATGCAATCCTATGAGAAGTCTTTGCATCTTGCAATTCCCAGATTAAGCCAATTGCTTTCCCTACACCCTACATGTGGTACTTTAAAGTGTTCTTTCTTCCACAGAAAGAGCTAGTACGGCTGTTTGGGGAAGTTGGAAATGTACAGGATGTTCATTTACAGCCATCAAACCGTGACGGAAGAAGTTATACTTATGGGTTTGTATGTTTCATTCATCTTGGTAGACAGTTGATTCTTGTCTTTGGTCTGATGCATGTATTCTCAATCTCTCTCCTAAGCATTAGTTCTTAGAAATCACCATGCACCAACAACATGGCCCAAAATTGATGACATCTCGTGGCAAGGAATGCAGAGGTTATTCATTCTGTCTGGGTTGCACATCCTCCCCCCCATGATTAAGAAATAAAAACAAAACCAGAGTATGTGCCTTTGTCTGAATGGAATTACCAACAAAACTCCTCTTTTTCTTTGCATAAAAACACTACTTCCACATTACTACGCATATTCTTTATTCGCTGTGCCATTGAAAGAAAGGAAACTGAAAAATTAAGTCATTCTTGATTTTGTTGTAGGTGTATTTTTTAAGTTTTTCACTTTCTTTGACTCCATTGAATTGAATCCTCTCAATTCAGTACGCATAATATAGTGTCATTGCTTTTATTTAAAAAAGAAATCAATCAACGTACAGAATTAAAACAAACAAGGACTTTGGAAAAGCCAGCAAAAGACATGGTTACTCCCCAAAACTTCTCTAAATTTTTTTAATTAATAAATTTTATACAAACTAATTGAAATTATAGTCCTGGGAAGGTGAAAACATCTATGTTCGTCAAGAGCAACAGTTTTTTTCCCTCCAGTCACTCACAGAGGGTCATACAGATTACTAAAATAATAGTTATTCATATCATAACTGTTCAATTCAAGTGGGAAAAGCATTTCCTATCAATAAAAATGAAAAAGAACAATGGATCCCTTTCAGTTGATCTTGTTATTATTGCTGATAGATCCAATAGGCCAGGGAACCTGCCCACTGTCAAACCATTTTATGTAATTCAAATATAGCTCACACTGCTGGTAGAGAGTTTAAAATTTTAAATTTTCCCATGGGTGCTCGCATACTGACACCCTGGTAGGGTATGTTACTTTGCAAAACACCATGTTGGCTATGAAAGCATAATTTAATTCAGCTGCCTATTAATTTTGCACACCTACTGTATTACAGTTTGTCACAACAACATGGCCCTGAATAGTTGGTCCTCAATTTTTTCAGTCATTCTTAATTAATTTCTTTGTCGCTGGAAATAAAAGTCAACAAATTTTAGTTTGTATACTAATGATAAGCAATAATTGAATCAATTGAATAATGACAAGACAGTTGAAGTAATTAAAAGAAGGATTATTCAAACTGCTTTACCACACTGTTACAGAGTAAGACATGTTCCAAATGGAACAGTTTCAAAATAGTAAAAGATAGGTCTGTCTCAAACACACCTAGCTATCTTAAAATTTAAGTAAATGTTTACATATATACCTTCTCAAAATGTTTTGAAAATATCCATGAATTGGATTGATTTTATCTAAAATTGATTTTGTATTATGTGGATACCTAGAGCAGCCTGGCTGTTGGTGGGAAATAATTCGTTAGCAACTAAGAAAAAGTTGTTTAGATAATAGGACACATTAACTTGGAGTACAAGAACTTAACTGAACTTGATAGTGAAAAATGCTTTAAATATACACCTTGCACAACTTTACTGCACTCTTTGTAGGCAGAGAAGTTTACACTGTTGTTGTTACTAGATAAAACTAAGCCCTTTTTTGATTGGAAATCAGGAAACTGTGTCTGTCTATTGTTTGTTGCCATTGTGCCATTTTCACAGAACTGCTTATAAAGGATTGATGGCTATTATGTATTTCCTGCCTAAATAATGCAGGTTTACACAAGTTCATTGATTTACAGTGAGAAAAGGTCAATTCATGGCAAACCTGTCCTACAGTACTGCTCTAATCTGTAGCTGAATTGGTTTGTGTGGAAACTAAGGAAATAATACCAAATACACCACTGAAAGTGAAATACAGTGATTTGCCCACAAAACACTGGCTGCATGAAAGAAACCCACATTTTTAATAATAAAAAATTTAGATAATATACAAAAGCAAAAAGATATATGTCCACTTGAATAGTTGTTTCAAATTTAATCAGGGCCAGTCCTTTGAGAACAAAGCCTAACATTTATGACGTAAGAACAATTTCGTAAAACAAATTAAACATAAATTCTAATATGTTGAATATTGACAATAAATGTCTCTTTAAAATATTGTAACACTCTGAATTGTCTCTCTACAAGCTTATCGCTACCATGCCCCGGCCACTCCTCGCTAATTAGCTAAACTATATCAGATGATTCAATTTGCGTGCGATACTTAGTAAATAAAGCAAGAAATTATTTGTTAGAGAAATGTTGCCAAATTTATTCTAAAACAAAGCACTCTTATTCAATGCACCTTTTGCCATCCGCTTTGGTCGTCTGAGAAATTCGTCGATTGCTCGAACACAGTGCTTCCAAGTATTCACTTTATCATCAGATGCGATTGCGTACACATCAAACACGGTTTCCTTTACAAAACGAAGGCGTTCTGGATCAACTGCTTCCTTCCCTCTCGTACCTGTGCAATTCCTTTTTTCCAATTCATTATTTTCGAAAATATGTCTCAGCAACTGGACTGCGAAGTTGCCGATTGAGCAACTTTTGCATTTGATCTGGGTAAGCTCATCCGCTGAGATGTACTGTTGCGGAAAGGAAGACGGACGTACAGGAGGCGCAACGTCTTGTTCGTTGTCGGTGTCGGGCGAAGAAGCTCCACTGGATGGAAGCGGTTTCACAGGGTTTGCAACCATCGATGGCGTGCTTGAATTTAACGGCGCTTGAGGCCGTGTTGGGGTGTTAATAGGGGTTGTGTTTTCCACGCGCGGGGAGGGTGAAACGGAAGGTGGCGGTGCCCCACTTGGGAGTTGTGTGGCGGATGACACTGGTGGCTGCTCAACTCGCGAGTTTTCACTGCTGCCTAGATGGGCTGGTAGAGGGGCTACCGTCACTGTGCCGGGGATGGTGTTCTGGATCGGAAGCGAGCTCTGAAGCGCTGGGAAGAATGTAAACAGCTGCTCCATACCTCGCATGATCTTGTTCTGGTTGTGAAGGATGGTCGCCTGATTCACCATTATGGCGCGTTGGTTTTCCAAGATGGCGGAGAAACGATCTTGATTCATTGATTCATTTGGTTCCATGGTCATATTTTGGACTCTGTCACTCGCTAGAGCTGGTCAGTAAAATAATCCTATTGTGTGAGATGGACGTTGAGAGAGTTCACACCGGTTGGAAGCGTTTATAACTTTGTGTTTTGGACTACTGCGAGTAAAATGGCGTCCACGAAAGTGAATCGCGAGTAAACCCGCGTGACTCGATGCTGAGCAACCACGCATCTCACGTGGTAACGCGCAAACGAGGGCGGAACATAACGTCACGCAATAGTGTAACTAAACCAAATGAAATTATGGATAAATACAATTTTTTTTTTTAATTTTATATTTATTCCATTTTCTGTCAAAGACTGTCAACTAAATTAGAAAGCAAGAGGAGTAATGTCTGTTTTTAAAGAAAAGTAGTCAGTGGTTTATAGTGACAAAAAATTTCAACATCACTCTTCTTTTATCATTCCTCATTGAAAGTTTTTCCGACTCCAAAATGCAACAATGATAGATTGGATATGATCTTGATTATCATTACATGCCAGAGAAATTGAAGTTATAAAAGTTATTGGGAAAAGGATAAAAAGAAATTAATGGTATTATATTATGTGCTGGAGTCTTTTAAAAAATGTGAATGTGTAATAGTTATTGGGATACTGAAAAAAAAGAAAAAAGTTACCAGTATTACATTACATGCCATAGTCTTTTGGAAAGTGAAACTATAAAAGTTATTGGGAAACCAAAAAAAAATAGTTACCAGTATCATATTACATGCCAGAGTCTTCTGAAAATTGATGTTGTGTGAGTTATTGGGAAATGGAAAAAAGAAAAAAATAGGTACAGGTGTTGGAACCACCTCATTCTTTCAAATTCCTTTATTTCTAATCATGCAATACTTGATTAACTTGGCCAGTATAGAAGAATTCACCCCACTAAAACAAAAATGGAAGCAAGCTAGCCAAAACAGCTAAACTAATAAATGTGATCCTAGTATGAATCAGATCACTCTAATCCTCGTGGTAAAATAATTGTGAGGTCCTGTTTGGGGGGTATAGATGTCGCCTGTCTGAATTTCAAACTTTGTCATGTGGCCATTTCAGAAGGTTCTGATGTCGCTTTTGCAATTTCATCATGTCGTGCTCAAAGTCGCATTTTCATTTCCCTGATGTTGCTGTTTCAACGCCATGTCGCCCTTCAGAATTTACCCTATCAGGGCCTCAATTGTAAGCCGTGGTTTGTTTCTCTACAGCTTCATTAGATACTGTACACTCAGTGAGTGCCGTGATGCAATTGCAATGCTCCATGGCCGTCTCCTTGGCAACAGCACCATAACAGTAGAGTACGCATCTGAGACTAAAGGGAGGTTATCATGTGACGACTCAGAGGATCTACCTCGTGGCAGTAAGTGATCTTTTAGATTGTTCTTTTCATGGACAAGATTGTTCTTTTCATTGACAAGATTCACTCTGTGATCGGTAAACACTTCTCAACAGCCTATGGGGATACAAGCCTCCTCAAAGAAAGCCAATTCAGCATTCTAAAAAAGAGTGTCATGGAAAATTTGACTGTCTTGGCTATGAGATGCTTTTCATCAAGCAGTGCAATCCTAGTCTCAACACGCAGACTGATTCCATTTGAGCAAAACTCTTTGTTTGAAAAGAACATTCCTCTACTTATTGTCTTTTTAGTATTTAAACATTTGTTATCTTTCATTCTCTGACTTGATAATGATGTTAGCCTAACATCAAAACGTCATCTCCAAATTTTTAATATGCTTTTATGAAATGTTTTATTGCAATTTTTTATCGTTAAAAGATTCACTTGCAATTAAAAAACATCGCATGCAGTTACCTTAACCCTTTAACTGCCAAGATCTGACTGTTGATTCTCTCTTCCAGCTGCTACACATTTCCTTGTAAATGAGTAATAAGAATCTAGTGTTAGATCAAGAAAATAACTTCCACCCAATAACTGAGTATATTTTCTTTGCCCATTTGTTGGATAATGTAAGGATATTATAGGGAGAAGTTAAGAGTTGGCTCTGCTCCGCTCCCCTGGCTCCGCTTTCCCCCTATGGTTATTCCAGGCTGCTAGTACTCCAGTTTTATTTCTAATAATTTCTTTCAATTTTGTAACTTTTTTGCTTCGAGCAATTATGAACGCGAGCACTACTAGAGATTATCCGTTATCTGTTATCCGTTATCCGTTATCTGTTATCCGTTATCCGTTATCCGTTATTCGTTATCCATTATCTGCTATCCGTTATCCGTTATCTGAGTTAATCACTTCTGGGAGTTAACGGTTAAAGGACTTGATTGTTCTCTATTTTTTTTTTCAGTTGTCTTTTTGGAACAGACAAAATAAATGGAAGATTGGGGGAGGGAAACTGCAAAATGTTAGTTTGGTAAAAGAAACAAAATGGGAAGAATGAAGGAAATAGAAATGTTCAAAAATGGTTGCACTTAGAAGTGATTAACATGGAACATCTCTTTATGATATCCATGTATTATCCAGCAAACAGGTTACGAGAGTACTCAAACTTATTAGGTAGAAGTTGTTCTCTTGATCTAAACCAAATTCTTACAACTTATTTGTATAGGTAATCACATGATTTCGAGTGCAATTTGGAATAAATAAGCACGAGTAAATTTTTTCAAAGACTAACAAAATTGCATGAGCCCGTAGGGCGAGTGCAATTTGTGGTCTTTGAAAAAATTTACAAGTGCTTATTTATTCCAAATTGCACGAGAAAATCATGTGATTATCTATTAATAATATACATGAAAAAATACGAGGTGGCTTCTCATAACTACGCAGAAGAAAAGTGCGTGCATCACATGCAAAAATAATTTATTCAAACCCTGCAAGTGACATTGACCATGACATTGACTTGACATTGACAGTGACCAATCATTCTGACCAATTAGAATGTCTGGTTTGTTTCTTTCTTTGCACTGAATTAACCCTCTTCTGCACTGAATTAACTCTCTTCTGCACTGAATTAACTCTCTTCTGCACTGAATTAACTGAAAACTACATTCATCTTAACCAATCAGAACTGAGAAATTTTTTCATGTATATTATTAACAAGGAAATGTGCAGCAGCTAGAGAGGAGAATTCATAGTAAGTTTGTGGGAGTTTAAGGTTTAAATTGGAAAGGTGAAATCTAAATGTCATATGCAAGAACAGTTACAATAATTGTAAAGATAAGGTCGACATCAATTTCAAACGACCCTCCATAAGGGATACAATAGCACATTGGTTTGGCAATATAAAAAATAAATCAATTCAAAACAGAATATGAAAGAGTATTTAAAAAGGATTGGGCAAGAATGGTAACAATTGTATGGAGAAGATTGTCACAGATTTCAAAATTTAAGCTAAAAATTTTCAAGAGATACAAGCATTGAAGCCCAACTTTTAAGGGTGTCATTAAGAAAAAGTCTACAATTTAGTTAAGATTCTAAACCTGCAAACTCTCTTGCCTTTGATGCGATTCTCATGCCTGCCCTTCAAAAACTCTGATCTCTCTTTGGCTCATACCTGCTGCCCAATTTCTCATGCTTAGCAGAAGCATGGAAATTATTAGTATGGGAATGTTCATTAATTTTATTTTGGTTATTAATTTTATTTGGTCATTAATTTTATTTGGTTATTAATATTATTTGGTCATCAATTTTATTTTCTTATTGATCTGCTACTTTCCTCGCAGAGAAGGACAGACTCTTGAGAGATGACTACCCGAGGCTAGAACAATACCGCTCCATGTCTGATGCTGAATCTCAGGAGAAAAGGGTTCTTTGGAAATTGCGTTGTTCTGCCAGGAGGCAGAAGTCATCAATTACAGGAAATGCATTGGCTACACAAGGTATTTTTCCTTTTCACAGTGGAAAGATGGCTAAGACTAAGGGGCCAAGACCCCTAAAAAAAATACTTGTATGGCATGTCCACAATCTGTGTAGCATGAGTTGACAATGGCAACTATGAGATACAATGAAATATATGAAGTTCATATATTTTGAACTGCGGTATTAGATACATATGATGTACGATCCTCGCAGTAGATAGCGCTATTTAAGCAATAGCGAAAATCAGACCTGAAAAAAATCAGGCCTGTACGGGATTCGAACCACTGACCTCTGCGATACTAGTGCAGCGCTCTACCAATTGAGCTAACAAGCCAACTGGGAGCAGGCCGTTAAGTTGATTCGTAATAAACCCGTGAAAGTGATAAATCAGATACAATGAAATATATGAAGTTCATATATTTTGAACTGCGGTATTAGATACATATGATCGTGCATCATATGTATCTAATACCGCAGTACAAAATATATGAACTTCATATATTTCATTGTATCTCATTTATCACTTTCACGGGTTTATTACGAATCAACTTAACGGCCTGCTCCCAGTTGGCTTGTTAGCTCAATTGGTAGAGCGCTGCACTAGTATCGCAGAGGTCAGTGGTTCGAATCCCGTACAGGCCTGATTTTTTTCAGGTCTGATTTTCGCTATTGCTTAAATAGCGCTATCTACTGCGAGGATCGTACATCATATGTATCTAATACCGCAGTTCAAAATATATGAACTTCATATATTTCATTGTATCTGATTTATCACTTTCACGGGTTTATTACGAATCAACTTAACGGCCTGCTCCCAGTTGGCTTGTTAGCTCAATTGGTAGAGCGCTGCACTAGTATCGCAGAGGTCAGTGGTTCGAATCCCGTACAGGCCTGATTTTTTTCAGGTCTGATTTTCGCTATTGCTTAAATAGCGCTATCTACTGCGAGGATCGTACATCATATGTAATGGCAACTATGTTGGCTACATGCATTTCTGGATGGGATACATGTCCACTGCAGTTAGGGATAAGACTTTTGACTATAGGAACCTGCTTTGTGTGGTTTACTTCAGCAAATTTCGATCATAAAGAGGTTTTCTTCGAGATAGAAGATCCCATGTACATTAACTTCCAAAAGACAAAAGCATAAAGACATGGCTCTAAGTAAAAAAAAAAAACAAGAGACTCCTGGTCAACTGACATAAACAGTAGGCATTTAGAGGTGCCTTGATAAGCACCTGTATCTATTCACAATTAGCTAAGAATCTTCAATTTATGTCTTCAACCTCTCAAAGAAGATAATTTGATTATCTTCCTCAGAAGGTGACAAAGAAGAAGCTTTGATTAATGCTCTTCAGGAAGTAGTAAAGAAAGTAAGCAGTGTTCCAGCTAACACCTTAGCCCTGCCTTCTGGGTCTGAGGGCACTCCATGTTCACCTTGGGTTACGAAGGAGATAAATGGGTGAGCTAAAATATATACTTAGTGTTATTCAATTCAGTGGTGGATCCAGGGGGGGTCTGGGTTATCCAGAACCCCCCGCCACACTACATCATATGTGTGGGTATTTTTAACACTTTTCTGAGGCCAAAATTTTCCAACAACAGAAATTTACTGCTGAACTTGGGGTATTAAAAATCCACTTATCTTGATGTATTCCTAGGCGTATTTAGCTCATCAAGAAATCTGTGTGTTTTCTGTATCTCAGGCAGTCGTGTCATTAACTCTATTCTTGGCTTTTTTATTAAGCTGCGATGAAAACCACATGTCCAACCAACATTCAGTCGCAACACAATCCACAGAAGAGGGTTTACAAAGGCGTAGGATATTTGAGGGCAACGTGAATGATGGGACGAATTCACAAAGCACAGAGTTGACAAATCGTCGGGAAATTCTTCAACACACGGCTAGCCAACGTATATCAAGAAGACCTTGTGAGGCTGATGCGCTGCATTTAAGAAACGCCACAGTTTCACCCTCTCCACCCAAACGCTATGAGTCAGCAGGCAGCCCTGATATGATAACCTCTCCGGGAGGATACTTCTCCCCAAGTAGCCCTGATGAAGCACCGTCTCCAGAGAGGTACACGTCCCCGATAAGCCAAGATGTCACTCCTTCTCCGACAGCATTTACATCTCCAAGCTCCCAAGATGCGACTCCTTCGCCAAGGCGAGGTGGTACCTCATTCAGTGAAGTAGAAACCAGTGATCCTGTCAGTCACGACTCACTAGAGAGATTCCTCAGGCAAGATTGTAATAACTGCCATGAAGAGATCACTATGGGCATAGGGCAAGAGTCAAATTCGACACAAGTGAGAAGCACAGCATCTTTTTGTCACTCCAGTGTGCCTTCTTTGAATAGCAAGGGACTCTGCTCTTTTGAATCTGATAGGAATTACAATGAACTAGGGCTACAGACTTCAGGAAAGTCGCCAGTGTCTTGTAAAGAACCCCATCAGGCTACCAGAAAGGGAGAGGTAGCACAAGATGTTAAGGGTGTATCACCACAACATAATCAAATACATGATACCTTTGCTCAACAAAAGAAAGAAACAGATTCAGCACCGATTAAAACACAACCTTTGCAACGTCTTCCGGGAGACCATCCCCCTGAAGTTGAGAAGAACGGTTATCCAGCTTCTGTAAAGCTGCTGTCCTCTGATAGTGCAACGGCTCCTCTTTCAGCCGCTCCTGCTTTTCTCCCAAATGGACCGGTGTCTCCCTCAGACTCAAGCACAGTGAGTGCACGCGTACCGCTGCAAATCTCTCCTGGTAGTGGATCGGATCCTCCTAAAGGCGCTGCAGCTTCACGCCTACCAGAACCTGTCTCCTCTTCAGACTCAAGCGTAGCAAGACCTCTCCTGGAACAACAATTATTCACTGACTCCTTCCAGGGGCCCCACGAGACCCATGCACCGGAGCTGATGCCGGTAAACATGGCTTCCAGATTCCAACACCCTGGCTTTCCGAGACAACAGTTGGGCAATCCGCCATTCTTGCCGCCTGGTGTCTTAAACCCAGGGATGTTTCCAGGATGGAATGCAATTGCCTTTCTTCAACAGCAGCTTTTAGCCTCAAGACTGCCATTTGGACTTCCTTTTTACGCAGGAATGCGTGGAATTCAACCAAACGATGGAGTACCATTGCCTTTTCAAGGTTTTCGAACTCCTTTGGGGAGATTCAACTGGGGTGCAGTAGGAAGGGGACGGTCATTTGCACCAAGATTTCCCAATGCAGGTCTTGGAAATACTAGAACTCGTGGCGAATTTGAGAGAAGTGAGCTGCCGTGGACGACAAACTTGAAGGAGACCTCTTCTCTGAAGAACACTTCAGACACACCTAAAGATCGTACTTACAATTCATCCCAGAATCAGAAAACTAAACTTGGATCTGTAAGCAGCGACTCTTTGCCGCCTCTGAAGAGTACACCAGACAGTAGCTGTAACAAAATTGACGAGAAGACATCTGTGACTCAAAGTCCAGGAAGCAATAATTCTTCTCCGAACGGAAGCAGCTTTGATGGTTTGACAAAAGAGTCGGAGGAAGAGACTGAATGTCGACGCTTTGCACATGGCCATCAGGAGACTGGTGTTCAAGGAAGATTCAATGGTAAAGGTCTGAACCAAGCTACATCTTCAAGCAGCGCCTTAGAAAATGCGGAGAATGAGTTGGAAAACACTGAGGTGAAGAGCACCTCTCCGCGTAAAATGACTCAGAGTGAAATGCATCTCAATTACCAAAAGGTAAGTTTTTGAGAGATGTTTTCATTCGTCAGTGTGTTTACAAAATGTCAGAGATGGATAGTCGGGGCTTTGGCTGGGAGGTAACTGTTGTGACCGATCTGGTCGGCAGATAACGGAGGATTACAACGGATTGAACCTTAAACGATAGCTTTATTCCACCTACACGACTCGTGGTCCTCAACAACTACAGTCAGGCGTTACATGCAGTACTGCGGAGAGTCTGGGTCCTAATACACGGGAGTCTGGGTCCTAATACACTACAGTAACCATTCCACTCAACTCTTTGCTGCCTAACGACAGTTGTCTGTACATTTCTTTTGGTACTGGCAGGGAGATTTTGTTTGACAATTGAGAGCTTCTCTAGTGGGCCATAATTTCCTAAACTCCCATGCTTTGAAGTCTGATTCAGCCCTAATGCTATAAGGAGAACTAAGATGCTAGTGATTTTAAAGAGTTGGAGGGTTTAGTTACTTTAAGTCTTAGAGGGAAACTCTATTTCCTCGGACGTTCCCACTATGAATTCTCGCCCAAGAATTACAACTTCCCTTCTTTTCCAAAGATTTTTTTTTTCCTCAAAACACAACTAAGTATTTTTTCGTTATGGTGGGAAAAAAACTCTCCTTGTAATAAAATTTCCCCCTACGTATAAATGGTGTTTTTTAAAGTGTGCGACAGAAGTCTTATTATAGATTGTGTTGTGAGTCGATGTTACTATTTTTGTGTCCCTTGCCGATAAGAGTTTTCTTTCGTTTAGAATGAATTGAAGAGGATTTTCCGTGAAAATGAAACAATGCGTCGGAACATAGAATGGAAGAAATCCAGAGGAATGGCGGGTAACAGGTATTCCAGGCAGAAATTGGAAAGATTGCTCGTTTCTTTTGTTATTTCCTGTGATGTCATCGTTAAACAGCAAATTTGCAACAACCTAGAGCTGGAATCCTCAATTTTTTCTTGCCCCGCGCTCTGGACAAACCTTTAACATCTTTGTTTGTTTCCTTTTTGTTTTGTTTTGTTTTTTGTAATTAGAGCTATTTTCAATATAGTATTAAAAGTAGTTCGGATTGCATTGGTTTTGCTTCACTTCACTCTGTGATTTGTGTACAAACCCACGCCGTTCACTCAACCAATCAGATGATAAACTGAAACCAATCACGACTTGGTCGCCCGCGATTTACCACGTTTTCCCGCGTTTTAAGCAGTTGGCTTTTTTTACTTTGAGCTCTCCGTCGCTCTTGAGGACATTTTTTCCTTTGTTGTAATCAGCCGTTGTGGTTATGTTGGTTTTGGCTTTACGACATTCAATCGAAAAGGCCTCGTTCTTATAAACTTTAGTTTTTCCTTGAGTCATTGCATTGATAGACTTTCACCGAGACAGTCACTAAATACAGCGTTTGACGTTTTTTACAGTACAACTAATTGAATGTAATTATTGTGTGAACTTTCAGAGACAAAGAAAGTCAGCTCAAGAAAGAAATCAGTGCAAAAGAACTATTTTTACAAAAGGAAAAGGAAATATTCGTCTTAAGGTACAGTATTACAAGAACCACAACTGTGCTCTAGGCACTTTTGCTTGAGACTCTGATCCCTTTACACCGTAACATCACAATGGATATTCTCCATACTGTTCTTTATACATTTCCTAAGGCGCTGACAAGGGGAATTTGTTTAACAAGCAAGAGCTTCTTTAGTTATTGACCGTTTCCTTTACTCTTGTGACGCTAATGTTTGATTCAGGGATGATATAGCAAGGATGAGTTCTATGCTAGTCATTCTAAGTGCTCGAAGGGTCAAGAAGGACAATTGAATGTGCCCGCCATTGAGAGAGTTAAATCTCCTACTGTTCCACAGAAATCAAGAGCAAGAACTTTTGTTCGAACGAGAAAAGCTAGAAGCCGCCTTTGATCAACATCTAAAGAAACAGGTTGGTAGTTCAGGATTTAAAAGAACAAACTTTCACAGGCCCAGACATCTGAATTCTCTGAAAATGATGTGGTGACTCTCTTTGACCCTTTACAACCTAATATTAGCATTCAAATTCGCGAGGAGATTTTGTTTAACAATCAGAGCTTCCTAGTTTGGTGATCATTTCCGTTATTGTGTTGATCTTAATGGATGGTCCAGCAGTTTTACTAAAATGAGAAAATACATGCTGGTCACTTCTCAAAGGGTTCTTGAATTGTACTAATTTGTCTAGTTGAACAACCGAAGTCGTCAAATTTTTGTGTTTAGTTCCGTCTCCTTTGAAAGAGTTTTATATAGATCGTCACGCAACAAGGTTGTATCTCCATGCTTCAACCCCTGGACGTCACGAAACTTTACAGCGTGACAGTTCAACATAAGCGAGATACTTCAAAGTTGTACTGAATTTATTTTTCTGTTTTAGCTCGAGACAGAACAGAAGATTGGTGAAACAGAGAACAGGATTCATCTGGCAAAATTGGAGAACGAGCTGTTGAGACTGTACCAGAATCTCTATGGATACAATACAGTTATCTATTAGCTAAATATTTGTTGCGTTTTGTATCGTAGTGCGTTTATTGCATCATCATCATCTGACACTCCATTGGAAATATTTTATGCTTAAAAAGATTTAATGGTTTGATATAAGTTTTCCATCGAAAATAGAAACGCGCAATATTGTTGTTTTCACTTGAGTTTTCTGGTTTATTTTCTTTTGCTTCTCTCTAGGTTTGTTTGTTTGTTTGTTTGTTTGTTAGTTTTTTGTCCGTTTTGTTTTGTTTATTTTTCTTTTCTTTACTTTTCTTTTGTCTTTGTTGACTTGATGGAAATATTTTGCGTTTAAAAAAATTTAATGGTTTGATGCAAGTTTTCATTAGAAAATAGAAACGAGAAACTTTGTTGTTTCCACTTGAGTTTTCTGATTTTAAATTTCATTTTGCTTGTCTTTAGGTTTTTTTTTTTTGTCCGTTTCTTTTTTTGTTTATTTTTTCTTTCATTTTCTTCCTTTTCTTTTGTCTTTGTTGACTTGATGCGATATTTAGCACCTGTGCATGTAATTTATTCGTTTGAGTACTGTCTCAGTACTGGAAATTAATCACCTTATTAGGAAGACAGTTTTTCGCGTATCATTTTCGACGTGTTATCACGATGCAGTCGTGACCGGAGTGTTTAGTAAGTTACGACATGGTTCTTTTATCTTTAAACCCAAGGCCAAAATTTTTCAAGCCGGTCTGTAGTAATTCATCTTAATAATTTCACTCCAAAACAGCCTGTATCGCTTTTGGGTTACCCCTTCTTCTTTGTTGTCTGTTGAGCCTGGGGATGAGCTTTATCATTTAGAACAGAGATTATAAAGTTATTAATCGTTGTTGAAGCTTGAAAAATTTCTCGAAGAATACGTTCGAAAATTGTACATTCTATGGGAATCAAGAAAGTCAGAGCGTTTGAGACTATTTTGGCAGAATAAATCTATTTTGGGGACCCAGTGTTATATGAAGTTTATGGTTGTTAAAGTTTAAAAAAATTTACGTTTGCTTGGAACTAAGGAAAGTTAAGAAAGATTATTATGTGAAGAGTACTTTTGGCAGAATAAAATATTTTTGTAGGATGGTATTTTCTTGATTGATTTCAATGTTGTCGTTATGGAGGACTAAAGTATTTTAGTCTCGGTTAATTTTTTCTCTCTCTCCTATTTTTACGGTAGAGAGAACAATTGACCTTTTTGGAAAGGTTTTTCTAGCTCTCTAGTTTCTCCACGGGTGAAACAACAGACGCTCTAGCCGGAAGGTGCCAATCCTTTCCTGAGTCATTACTTCGTGACTGTCTTAATGACGAGGACGCCTTGACTCAGCAAATCTGACTTTGTACCAAGTTCTAGCATGTGCTCTTCTTGCAAGCAACACTGGCTGGGGCGTTCGTAGCGCCTGTCAATGCCTGCCAGTTTTGGATATTATCATAGGCAATAGCCCCCAAGGGTTCACGTCAGTAATGGACACGTAATAGATTTGTGTTTGGTTAGTTTCCACAATCAATCAAAGATATGGTCAATTTGATTTTATCAACTGGGTTCTTAATGTAAATTGGCCACCATAAATAATTTGTAACTCGGCTGATAAAGAGACAAAGTTTGCCTTGTTTTCTTTGTTCTCATAGGTTGATTAAAAAAAAAAAATTAACTTTAGTAGCTAACACAATTATTGATAACCCAGTAGTTTACATTGTGGGCTGTAAACAAATAATTCAAAATGAACATAATTTTGTTAAGAATCCCAACTGGCTGGAGGCAAACCAGTTTGCTATTCACAAGCATGGCCGAGGATTTGAACTCGGAGCTACCGTGAAACAAATCCTGGTAGTGGTCAGAGCGGGACTTGAACCCGGGACGACGGATTGCGAGTCCGACACGCTGACCACTCGGCCATGCTGCCTCCCATTACCCCCTCTTTACCGGCATGGCCCAATTGTTCGAAGGCCGATTAGCGCAAACCCAAGGTTAAATTGAAATCCGGGCTTCTTTATTCCTTTGTTCAAAAGCGTTTTCCGGATAAGTTTCTCAGTTAGAATTAAAGCACTCAGTCACCACTGTAGACAAATATAATTATTCTGAATTTTCTTTTAAAGCCTTCAGATCTGAAAGCAGATTTCACACTTAACCCTGTGAACAACCCAGCCCAGGGCTTTATCCCTCCCGTCTCTCTCCCCCCCCCAAAATTCTCGAATGGAAGACCACACGAGTCCCCTCAGGGTAGAGGGGAGAAAAATTGCCTGTCTTTAGTTATTCAACATCTCACCCGGATATTTAATCAAGAGCATCGGCGTTTCTAAGTCTCGAATTTTACTAATCTCCACCCATGCTTCACGCAATATCATCGATCGATAATCGCGTTGATTTCATTCCTTCGAGTCAGTGTTCTTACCAAGGCGATGTGATTCCGTAACATCCACAAGAAATGTAGACGTGATGTAAACAATCGCTTCGATCGTCTTTTTAGAACAAAGAAGAGAAATTTGAAATAATTCCGTGATCAATAAGGTTTCATGATATTTTCTTGACGCGTGGATTTCTCTTGTTTCCTGAACCCCCGTTTCCGCTGCTCGTTAGAGAGAATTTGATACGCTGGCACAGATAAGTCACCCTTACGCAGTAATTTTCAATTCCTGACAAACGATGTCCTTGTACGTGCACGAGGCTGGTTTTCAGAGACGAGGAGGAACGAAAGGTCAATGGAGAGAGAAGTGGCTTTCAAAAGGAACACTTGGCTAAAAAAAAAAAAAAAAACGATTCATTTATTATCTTATGTTTATTACTTTGGCGCTTTAGAACTGTAAAATTTCTACTCAATAACTGGAAGAAAAACTGAAAATTGCCGAGTCACATGGGATTGTCGATAATTCAATCCAAATCAATGTATCCGCAGGAAATTCGTATCGCCTATAAAAAAACGGGAAGAATAGGATCGGGATAAAAATATATTCCCTCCGTTCTCTTAACTTCACAGGCAATATTGTCGAGGCGTGTAACAATCTTCCAATTGCTAAACAAACATTATTGCTAAACAAACATTATTGCTCAACGGTAAGGAAACCCTTTCAACAGGCGACCCACTGAAAAGCGCATTACCATCGCGCGTTTCTTTTTTTTTGACAGCTGTTTTATTTTTGTTGTTATTTGGGTACGTGGAGTCAATTACGCAAAACGACAGAGACACTTAAAAGTAAGTCTTGCTCTGTCTGTGCACTGCATTGGCAGACATCACCAATAGTTGGGAGCATAACATCATTAAGTACTGACTGAAATGGGCGTTCCTAAATTATTTACCTGCTTTACAAAGCCCGAAAACCCTTCGAAGCGGAAGGATCGTACTCCTCTGCGCCAAAGAGTCTCTTACTCCACGGGCCATATCTTCAACGACTTGTGCTCCGCTGTTTGGTTGACCTACTTCATCGTGTACTTCAACAAAGTCGTTGGACTTTCCACCACGGACACTGGGCTTCTCTTCCTCATCGCTCAAGGCGCTGATGCTATTCTGACACCGTTTATGGGCATCGGTTGTGATCGACTCGTCATTAAACGCTTCGCGCCTTACGGTAAGAGGAAAATTTGGCATTTGTTTGGCACGATTTTCGTGGCGATTGCGTGGCCGTTCATCTTGAGCCCTTGCTTGGCGTGCTCAGAAGATAGCCCTAGCTGGTTCCCACTGCTTTACTATTCAATAACGGTGGTAATTTTCCACGTCGGTTGGGCAGGGGTGCAAATTGCGCATCTTTCGCTTATTCCAGAGATCGCTAGACGACCCAGTGAAATTGTTGAGTTGAACGCCATCAGGTAAGCGTCATATTAAGCAGGTCTTAACAAGCTGACCATTGACCTTTATTTTATAAGCTTTATCGGAAAAGGTTTTTTTTCTTGACGTTGTATCTGTCATTTTTTTGGGAGAAAAATAAACTAACATCAAAAGTTCCACTCAAAAAATATAATCAAAGTAAACATTTTTCCTCTGTCTTTTTAAGTTTTCATACTAGAGAAGTTTTCGTACCTGTGATTTGTAAAAAGTTTTTTTTTTTTTTTAACTTCATTGCCCTTGTTTCGCACATCAAATTTCACAATCAAACGTGATTCAGTCTAAAGGCTTTCACTGAAATTTTTATTGGACACCGCCCACAATAAGTGCTGTTTATAAACAAACAACCCTCCAAGCCTTTGCTTTCAGAGTATACAAGTTAACAAAAATTAAGATTAAAACAAACAACTAAGAGCCAATGTTACCGACGTAGATAATTTGCCTGTCTCGAAAATTATTATCCAGGAGATATCTAGTTCACCATGCTAACTGTTGTTTGTTACTTCAGCGGGTAGATAATCTAGGGGAGTCTTTGTATTCTAAATTTGTGAACTAACTTCTGTTTTCAGATCTGGTTTGACTTTTGTATGTGGCATCTTCATCTACTCGGTAACATGGATTCTGTTGGGGCAAGCGAGCGAGGAAGGCATCAGCCATGGCTTATGGAAAGAATTCACGGTACCAATGCGTTAATGTTCACTTTGTGTCACTAACTTTTCACCAAAACATTTCTAACAATATGTGTTTTTTACTTAGTAATATACATGAAAAAATCACTCAGTTCTGATTGGTTAAGATAAATGCAGTTTTCAGGTAATTCAGTGCAGAAAAGTTAATCAGAGCAAAAGAGGGTTAATTCAGTGCAAAGAAAGTAACAAACCAGACATTCTGATTGGTCAATAATCAAAAAAACCCACAGAATTACCAAACTCGCTGAACAATTCCTTGAACTGTTTGGTCAGACTTTGAATTTTTTTTGTGCCTTTAAGATGTGAAAATTTCATTTTATCTTATTGTTTTGATCGTGCGCGGTTGTTTTGAGCGAACGCACAATGTCACTAGCAGGGTTTGAATAAATTATTTTTACACGTGATGCACGCGCTTTTCCTCTGCATAATTATGATAAGCAACCTCGTATTTTTTCATGTATATTATTAAGACATAATCACATGATTTTTCTCGTGCAGTTTGGAATAAATAAACTCTTGTAAATTTTTTCAAAGACCACAAATTGCACTCGCCCTACAGGCTCATGAATTTTTGTCAGTCTTTGAAAAAATTTGCTTGTGCTTGTTTATTCCAAATTGCACTTGAAATCATGTGATTACCTATTAAAAACACCCTGGAAGCTTGCGTTCAGTGCAAATTTTCAACTACATGTGCCGAGCTTAAGAATGAGAATGTGCCGTAAAAGGCGTCCTTCCTCTTTGATTGTTTATTCCAACTTTGTACGCTGTAGCAACATCCAGTTTTAACCCCTGATTTGAAATATTTCTTTTTGTTTTTATTGCTCAAGTCTTATGGTTTGTGATATGTGAGAAGTTCGTAAGAAATTTTGATAAAATAAACTTATGTCAACATTTGACAGAGCTGAAAAAGTCATAAAGAAGCATGTTATATTTATTGCGTTTCTATCTGATTTTAGCAACTCAGCTTAATTGTTGTAGCGATTGGGTTCATGTTTTCTTTCGTGTTTCACTGGGGAACAATTGAACCAGCTTCTTCCACAACTTGTAAAAGGGAGGAACTCACACAAGGTAGCCGAGTTGTATCAAATTTTACTTTTAAGTTACTACTTTGCAAAAGGGAGATTTCCCCTCTTTGATAAGAAACCACTTTTTGATCATTTTAATTTCGCTCAGTTAAGTTTTGTTTTCCATGATTGAAATTCTCAGCGATTTGTGAGAAATTTTCATGAAAGTCTGTGGATTAGAAGAGTTTCATTCTAGTCGAACTAAGTTTTACGTCAGCCGGATCTTTCAGCATAAAGGAGCTAATTGTTAAGTTCTGAATCTGAAATATTTCGCCAAATTTTCTTGTTGGTCATTTTCCATCTGTCTCGCTCTTCCCTTTCCTTAGACATCTTCGTTCCCTTTTAATATTGGTTTGCCATTCCCATATTTTCGCTTTTACCATCTTATCAACTCGATATTTTCTCTCTCAAACGTCAATTTCACATACCCCGCCACAGAAATGCTTTATATTATAACAGTGTATTTTTTGTTCTCACATTCACATTTTTCCTTAGAACCGCTGGACGAACATTCCTCTGATCAAAGCCCCTGTGTGGAGATTGTGGAGAGAGATACCCCATCACACAAACCCAAAACATGGCGGCAGTGGTTCAAAGATCCTCGATTTTACGTGGTGAGATGAAGCTTCTTCTACCTCTCCGTAATTGGCTAATGGAACTCACACCTGCACATATTCAGCCAATAGCGCGCTGGACAATAAAATCAGTGCAACGTGGTTGTACGCGTTTTCGCGCGCTCTCGCATATGGCGGGAAAAGTGTGCGAATCCTTTGAGTTCATCTCTTGTCTACCTGAAAAAACGACTGACACGATTTGCCTTAATGAATTTCAAAAGTCGAGGTCTTTCGTGAAATATGTCAGCATTAATTGTTTAAGCTGTATTCACCCACTGACCGGCTGATCTGTGCTTTTAATTTCTTTCAGATGGGCGTCGTTTACACCTGCAGTCGTATCACAGTGAACGTTTCCCAATCATATTTTCCATTCTACTTAACGGAAACGCTTCGCTTTCAGAAAGTATGTTTAACTGAACATCTTTAATAATTCCATGGTTCAACTGAAGATGTCCTATCAAAAAGATTCACTCACTAAAAAGTTGCCATAAGTGTTCATTTACTCCGGGACTTCACCTGTGGGAACATTACTCGAATAAAGCTTTCAGTGTTTTCTACAAAACGTTAAGAACATTTTTCGGTCGACGATAAACTTTTATTTTTGATGGACATCTTTCCCACAAATGCCGAAGACGGACTTCAAAAACTCTAAACTTGGAGTATTTAGTTTTCCCCATGCAGGGCTTTCATACATGTCATCGTTTCTTTTATAATTTTTTCCTTTCATTTTTAACTGCATTTCGACTTTCTTCCAATTTCGTTTTGCAGGAGGCCATTGCGTATTTTCCTTTGGTCATTTTGATCAGTGGTGCCATGTCAAGTGTTCTCGTAAAGGGAATCAGCAAAAGCCTGGGTACCAAGGTGAAAACTTAGCCCTTTACACCCTAACATCAGTATGCATATTCTCCATACTGTTCTCTATACATTCCTAAGGTGCCGACAAGGAGAATTTGTTTAACAATCAACAGCTTCTTTATTTGGCGATCATTTCAATAGCGATATTGTAAGGAGAAATTATATGCCAGTCTCTCTTAGGGATAAAAAGGTGAAATCAAGGTCTGTCTAAGTTTATTGCTGGTTAAAATTAACAAACTTTGAGAGAAATCCGACCTTGACACACAGTGATCAGTGCTCAATCACGAATGAAACTAAGGAGGGAATATTCTTCATTTCGTTTTCAACCAAAGGTGTGGCGCAATTTCTGCGAATGAAAGGGGAACTAACGGTGCAGTGTAATATCCTAATTGATAACGGTCGATAACAAGAAAAATCTCGCTTCACTTACTTGACAGAGAATATTATTTTCATGCAGTTTCTTTGTCTTTTTTTTTTCAGTGGACCTTCTGTTTAGCTTGCGCAGCTGTCCTTGGCGCGTGCACTTGGTTTTATTTTCAGACTGTCTCAGGTCGGGTGGCTGTGTACGCGGCGGCCTTCATTATGGGAAGCGGTAATTCTGTCATGCTCGTGACTGTGCTGTCTATGACCGCTGACATGATTGGAATCGATAAGGTAAGAGAACCGAGATCTCCATTGTACTTGAACAAGAGATTATAAACAGTCGATATCCTATTGACCGGAAGTGTAATCTTGCACATCTCACATGCAAAATAAAAAAAATGAAAAAAAAAAACAAAAAAACAAAAAAAAAACCAGAGAAAGAGGCTTTAGAGAAGAATCTCTTTCACACAAGATGTTAGATTAAGTAACAGGTTCTAGTCTAAACAAGTTTTTGTCGCTTTACTTCTAGGCCTCTGGAGGCTTCGTTTACTCAGTGATGGGTTTCTTGGACAAAGGATTCGTGGGGGTAGTGGTACTTGTCATTCAGACATTTTATCCTGACAGTCCTGACGGGTATGAACATGAAGAACATGAAGAACATGTTGTATGTAGCTCGCGGGCAGGTCTTCGTTTTAGCGCTACGGCACAAGCGTTTCTGCGCTCGAGAGAAAGTTTAACGCCTAGAGCCGGCGAGAGGTCTACGAGGGGTCTGGCACTAATGAAACCATATACTAATCTCGTACCCAGATCCCACCCATCCTTGGCCGCGGAAGGTCTGGGTACAAGACGAACTTTTTACACCCCTTGAAGACCCTTCACCAGTTCGCGTTTCTGGAGGCCTAAAACTTTCTTGCGAGAAAAACTCCCTCCTATTTGTACTTATCACGTAATTTTAACTCAGGGTTCGTCTGCGCGAAACCCTATATATATATGGTGAAATCAGTTCAGAGCTGAGGGTTCGATTGTGAGTGTAAGTTTAAGTCACCAGACAGTCATGAGACCAGTTATCAATAAACGTCCAACTTATCGCACAACAAAGGCTCATGGGACACGAACATCTTTCCAGAGATCTAAATCACTGAAGAAGAATTTATTTTGTTTTTTCGTTTTTCATTTTCAGGGTGACATGCGAACAGTGCAGCAATTATGTGCGTATTGTATTTACCCTGGCACCTGGAATATCAGCTGTCATTTCCCTGGTAATCGTTGGACTTTGTTTTAAGTCAAAATTTGTCCTGTCCTGTCGGCCGAGAAGTAAGTTATGACCCATTACACTTAAGCATTGGGCTTTCATTTTCTCTTAAATGCACTGATGGTTAATTCTTCGCATTTTCATGAGAATTTTTTTAGCTTAAAGATATTTAACAATTCTTGGCCGAATAACTGTTCTAGTATAATTGCTCAGGTGCTTCCGAATTCTCTTTTAAACTCTGTAGACAAAAGAAAGCATTGCGCATATTTTGTTACAACCGTTGTAATTACTCGTATTTAAGATAGATAAGCAAGAAGTTTCAGCAGGTTTAATTGATTCAATCAGAAAAAATTCATATGTTACTTTTGAAAAGTGTTACGCTTAACTTGGTAGCATCTATTGTACTCATCAGAATTGTATTTTCTTCTTTCGCGTTTATCATTTCCTGCATAACATCTATAAACGTTTGGCAGCCATTTTTTGAAATTTATCGCCCCTGTTATAATCACCTCGCGCGTGCTGATTAGAGCATGATATGAAGCAATCCTCGACCAATCACAGCGCGCCCATCTCTATAATCACCGGAGCAATCATACTAATGATTATTTATTACCCATCATCATGTTGATTGGATAGGATCTTAGATTGCAATTTGTTTACGTTACCAATATATTTTATCAATTAGCCATTGTTTGTTATCACGCGACCCACAGCTGAGGTTTAATCCCAATGGTGTCATTGTTTACCTGCTGGGGCGGGGGGAGGGGGATTTGGAGGACAGAGATCCACCTATAGGGCCTTGTCATATTCTTAACCTCCCTTATTAGCAGTTGATTGACCACCAACTTTCAGCTAGTGACGACTGATCCCTGTGCGTCCCCCCTGAAAATTATGTGATCCCCAAAATCCTCCATCCCCTTCCCCCCCTTATGACTAGTCCCTTGAACAAAGGTTTTACTTACTATCAACTTTTCACAGTTGAAAAAGCAGATCAGAGCACGCAGACAACAACCATGGAATACCTTGAAGACCTTTACGAGAAGATCTGTGAGCTCCCTAGTTCTAACGTTTGAATCGGAAGTGGCTACAGGAGGTGCAGGTGCAAAACACCCTTATGACGGCCTGCCATAGGGTTACCTCAAAAAAAATGAAACGGAGCAGTGATGATGGAACATGTTAAAAAGACCTAATGTCAAAATTGTTGATGATGGTACGCTATCAATTGCATAAGCTGAAATGAATATGCAGATGGAGAGCAAGATTGAATTTTAGCATCACTGGGGCCATACTACAAGAATTTGAGGTTTCGATTAACTTTCTTTTTATAAATGTTTGGTTGTGGTTATGTAGATAAGGAAACGCAATTTAGCTGACTTGGGACTTAATTTATATATCTTAGATACGCACTGAGGTATTGTTATTTAGTGTAAAACTGAGTTAAAGCTTTCCAATTTGTATATGTTATATCATTAATATCGTAAAACTACTAAAAGTTGAGAACATCGTCGTTTTTTCATCGCATAAATTATATTTTAACCCCTCAGTTGCACTACCTTGGAAGGCCAAAATAGGGCTGAACGGTGAACCTAGGCGGCTGGAGAGGGAGTAGGACATTGTTATAGAAAAAAAACGATCTGGGGTTCCAAGAATTAATCTCCTTTTATTAAGCAGTGATAGAAAATTCTCAGCACGTGCACCTTCCACGTGCGCGATCCCGCATCACATCCGTCAAACCCTTAAAATATTTGGTAACGTTACCAGAAACATAAAAAGCATGATGTATTCCAGAACCTTGTGACAGTTAAAAGCTTGCGTGTTTTTCCGAGAAAAGAAAAGAAAAAAGAAAGAAAAATAGTGTCCGTGCAACCTTTTAAAGGATCTCGGGTTCCTATTTTCCGAAAAACCTTTCATTTTCTTTATCCATTTCGTTTAGAGCATCTCCTATTACCCACACAAAGTGATCCCCGTAGCAGAATTTCTATCCATTCTACAGATTCTCCTTGCGTTTATAGATGTAACAAAATTATGACGAATTTTCGGCGGGCTATCATAGTGCTAAACAAATTTTAGTTGAACCTTTCCTGTGAATAAAAATGTAAATCTGGTAGTTGAATTAAAAACGTGTTGTTACTGCGTAAGTTTATTTAAGTCTCCCATTACTTCTTTATTTGTTTACCTGATGCAGAAGCTATTTCGGTCTACATAAATCTTAATGCTTTTTTTCTATAATGGTTCGATTTGTCTTTCTCTTACAAAATTGGAATCTTCCCTTCATTATCCAGACCCCGCCTGGCCTCATTATTACAACAGGGGTGAGGACGATTCGTTCGCAGATTATTATTGTTCTCGTGGGGCACACGACGTTCACATCGCCGTTGGAATTTCTAACGTCAGTCACACCTTATTTACAACCCTTATGAAAGATAAAGCCCAGTCTCCCAGACAAACCGCAGTCGGTATCTTTTAGTCGTGTACATCCGGTTGAATGAAGTGGTTTCCGCAGCCGAAAAACTATAAAAATGTTCATGGGCAATGATTGTAGCCAGGAGCTCTTGCTGAAGCTTATGACGAAAAATGGAAACGAAAGAGATCCTATTTCCGCTCACACTGCAGGATACCTTCCCGTTCTTACGTAATGATATGATCACCCTGCCTCTCATCACGTGAAAGCACCATGATTGACCCAGAGGTCCAATCGGCTTAATGTAAATGTGAAACTGTTTTTCCGGCCGGGTTAGCTTTCTCATTAAGAACTCGGCATGAGCACAATACTTAGTGACAAGGAAACCACTGGATTTCAAAATTAAAATTAGAGGAAGCTTTGGAAAATTTATGACCGGCTATTGAACTTTACCTGATCGGATCACCGTCCACCCTCCACTCAATGCGATTTTTCGTTGGATCCTATTTCTCCAAAAATATTATTTTTGTCAACAGAGCGAATCATCCGAGCAAATCAGTTTTTTTTTTTTACCTTGTTCCGTTTGACCTTAAAAATCCTCGTGATTGTAAAGAAAATGAATAGCGGAAAACCAGCACTTGTGGTTTTCGGAAACTCGTCTCTAGAAACTACGGAATTCCCAAAGGATTATAATTACAGGACAAAATAACAAGGCCTTCCCTGTTCTACACGGCATGTTGTACATGTTAATTTGAAATGCACCTCTTAAATCATGCACTTGACGTTAACACTCATCGTGGGATCTCTGATTTACGGGAACCCGTATTAATTGTTCTACTGGAAACTGAAAATTTTTCTAGCCTCTAGCCTTATTCTGTGGAGTCGAGATTTTAACGTTGTAAATACAGTAAAAGAACTAAGAAGTCCATCATTGTCCGTTGTCGAGAGCTCTTTGATCTTCAAGTAAATATAGAATAATCTTTGTAATTTCGCCTCGGTGATGTAAATAACTTAAAAGCCAATAAGCTAAAGGAGATAATAATTGCAAGTTCAAAAATCATGGCGTGTAGATGTCTCGGGCGAAAATATTCAAAGTAATTTCGAAAAAACACTCTGCGAGAGAATTGTTAAACGGGCTTTCGATATCACAAAAGTTTAGCACATGCACTTCAGACTTGCATGTAGATTAACGCTACCCTAGGATCCGCAACACAATTGGTTGAGATCTGACGTTGCTCTGACAGCTGTCAAACTTTTGATCAGAGAACAATCATATTGTGACGAATGTTTCCAAATTTAAACGATGAAATTGGAAACGGCTTTCCTCGCTGGAAGATAAATGTCACATCTAGGTATGCCGGCTTTGTAGTTGCTCCCTTGTAAGTTCAAAGTTAAAGATCGCACGAGAACGGCTTTCATCTTCCATTTTGAGAGTAAAGTGGGAAATATCTAAAATGGTGTGGATTTGCGGACGAAGTAAACCGAGCGAAAAGCTTGTACACAAGGAGGAGAGAACTTCACTGAAACAAAAGATCTGTTATGGAGTAGGACATGTATTCAACGATCTTTGCATTCAAGCATGGTTTACCTATCTTATCATCTTTTTTAACAAAATCGTTAAAATCTCCGCAAAGGGAACCGGTCTGATTTTCCTCGCGTCTCAAATCGCGGATGCGATTTCCACGCCATTCATCGGTTATGGCTGCGACAAAAGCCTCTCAAAGACTATCACCAAGAAATTCGGCAATAGAAAGATCTGGCACTTAATGGGCAGTGTTGGAATCGCGTTGATCTGGCCATTTGTGTTCAGCCCGTGTTTAGCTTGCAACGAAGATAGCCCTGACTGGGTTCCAGTGGCATACTATGGAGCTTTCGCAGCTTTGTTCAGCGTTTGTTGGCCAATGGTGGAAATAAGTCATTTATCACTTATGCCTCATGTTGCCAAACGGCCGAAAGATGCGGTGGAATTGAGCGCTATTAGGTATGTAAATCTGCAGTTCTTTCTAGGTCTAAAAAATTGCTCGCAAAAACAGCAGGATTCCTAGGATATCCGTCGTTGGTGGTGTTACATGATGCGATATTGCTTGTCTGGCTTGTTTCCAAGCGTCATTGTGACTCGGGTCGGTAACACGAAAAATATTTTTTTCACCAACGCTGTTTCCAAGTTTTGAAAACAAACAGCGTTGCCGTCATTTCAAAGTTCCTTGAGGAAATCTCAAAGCCCAAGAAAGAAATGTATACTAAGCAATTCGTTCTCTTAATTCCTTGATTTTAGTCGCGTGGCGATTCAAAAATAATTTTTTCGTTATTGCATCATCCACTGCGGTGGGTTTTCCTTTAGCTCGGCAACTGATCAGGAGAAGGAAACAATAAAATCAGGTGATCGATGTCTTGTGACTTCCGATAAATTTAAATTTGAAAGCAAACGAAAACTTGTTTTCAGCGTGACCGAAAATGCATTTTATACACAGACGTTTGAATTTGTTTCGATTTCCTGCGAAATATTTTGAACTTGTTGTTTTCACCCGAAGTACCTTGAACTTGAAGCCAATATTCATGATGTAACCTTTGAAACAGACAAACAATTTTCAGTACATTGGGCAGCCAATTAGAATACAATTCCGCTTTAAACTGGTCGGTAATGCTAAAAGATTTTATTTGCATATTCAAATCCTGTAAAAATTTCTTTCAAGGAAAACAATTCACTTAGCGTTCTTGTTGTTCGTGCGCGAGGCTGAAGTTTCGTTCATTAAAAATGCATTGAAAGCGGGTTTCAAGCAAACATGTTTACTTTGGCCTAAGCAGAAAATGAACCCATCTTTCGTACTCAAAATTCTATCCAAAGGTTTACATTTTTTAAGATGCAGTACAGCGTCTTGCAAACCTTCATTGACGCTTCCGTGCAGTCTGCAGGGAGATGAGTGAAACGCGTTCAAATCGGAAGAACGACAGGATCATGAAATGTGATCTCCATTTCCTTTTTTTTTTTTTTTTTTGCGTCATTTGATTTATTCATCTTTACAGTTTGTAGTGAGAATGATTTCGTGTTGTACCAGAATAAAACATACTCCTTACTGAGAGGAGGGTGGAATCTGGCCTTTTTAAAGAAGATGAAAGGTGTCAGAACAAGCCAGATTATATTTCGGTTGTAATTTTATGCGAGTTGCGGGAATATTGCATGAACTATATCTATCTCGGTGCACTGCATCAGCCCTTTGAATCATCAATCCACTGAATTTGCATAATCACTGCGCGCTAGAGGTAATATACTTGACACCCAAGAGACAATTTGCCGTCGTCGATAAGCGAATGGTCAGAAAGTGTCCTGACAACTGTGAGCGTTTGATAATAATTCTTTAGATTTCCCTGCAGCTCATTAACAGATGTGAGTTTCTTTCTCGTAAGCGAAATTGTGATCCTTTTATTTCAGCGATAAGGTTGAACAAAGCTTTGTGCTTGATATTCAAAAGATAGAAAGCCAAACTGTTTTCATTTTCAAAAAAAATCGAAAATTAAGGACTAGTATAGTTTAATTTAATTGAATCGCTAGATGCTCACAGGTTAATGTGTTAATCCAACCAACAGTGGGGCTCTTTAGACCCATCCTTAGCTGTGCCGGTATAGAATTATCCACCTCAAAATGAAACGATCAACATGATTTCCCCCATTTTTTCAGTGAAACCTTTGTTTTAAGTCATGTGAGCCTTCAAGCGGCATGAATATGTCACCCCAATATAGTTTCAGGCAAACAATTTTTCGCCGGGGGGCTCTTTGTGTAATTTGCCATGACGTGATATCCGAAATTTCCAGCAATCAACACGGCTACATGCCGCCTTGTGATATATATGGAATATTTCGTTTCAATTGTTAGATTACACCTTTGCAGTGTCATGGATAATGAAAAGTAACTTCATTTACGGTATAGACAATCAATATATTTGTCCAAACAGAAATAGAAAATTCATTGAATTGCATAATCGCGATATATTTTAAATTGTGCCTTTTTAAATAAAAAAATTGAGCGCTTCTTTAACCCGGTCTTAACCTCAAAAAGGAATCATCCATAATATCCTAATACATAAGAATATTTCTCTATTTTTGCTGATCAGCCTTAGATACATTGATGCGATTTACTTCAAAATCGTGGGTTGCAAACCCTTCTTGGGGGTGTTCTACACGTATTTCGGAATTTGCAGTATGACGCCATTTCCGGACAGTTCATTTTCCAAGGGTTTTTACCCTTTTTATGTATATGAATATCTTAAGTAATAAAGAGGGGCTTTCAAAGAAAACTTGTCAATTTTCCAGTCTATTTTGTGTATACATGTTCTCGGGTATGCTAAGAGTTGCCTCTTCTTCTGGGCCGTGTCTGATTAATCCATTGATGCACAGGCGTGATAAATAAGGAACCCTTTTTCCAACTACACTCAATGAAAAATTACAAACTTATCTGCAAGAGAGGGATTTTTGCTGTTCTGAAGCACCAAATTCTTCTAAGTTAGTTTCAAGGAAACATATATGCCCTGTGGAAACGAAAATGAGGAGAGAGATCGTAGAGGTTCTATAAAGGATTGAATTGCGGTTGTTTTCCCAACGTGAGAGAAAGAAGTTCGACGGAAGTACTTCACGGTAACCTTTTGAACTCTATAAGCCTAAAAGCATTTTTACCCATCGGAGGATCACAAAAGTCAGTGCGATTCGTGACTACAGCTGCATTGCGTATTTGCTTCCCCTGCGCTTACTGCACATTTTAAAGCGAGATTAACAATTTAAAACAGATGATATGAAAATGCGTAATTAAATCAGTGCCACTCGAAGGTGTTTGAATGCGATAAAATCTCTAGAGAAAAAAACCAATGAATACACGTGGTGATAGAATTTAAAAGATTGCTTTTAATATGTGGTATGATTTCTGAGGAAATCCGGTGACTGCATACTCTTTGTGACAAAAACCTGACACACGGTAGTGGAGACACGTGTGCGTGTTGGAAACATGGTTCAGTAAAATCACTTTGTTTACCTTGTCATACACATTTCATAGGTCCTCATTTGCAGAATACACCAGAAATCCATTTTTTTTATTTGCGTAACATCAGTAAGCTACCACCCTAGTAGTTTTCGTCAGGTGATATTTCCGAAAGCTATCTGTTCATTCTGTACGTTTTGTGATGCACGAAACACTGAATTCTTCAAATTAAATTCAATACTGTTCCATTCATTTGTTGATACGTTTTTTCAGTTGCGGGTATCTTTAAACGTACAGGATATTGTGCAGTTACTGAATAAAAGATAAAAATGCATTCAAATTTTCTTCGTTCTCATGTTTTGGTTTTCGTAGCTCAGTTGGAGATTACATCTAGTTGGTATGGTTTCAGTCGATCTCCGTTGCATCATTTACCCATTTAAACCCATGAGTGACCAAGACAGAATTTTTGCTTATGATATCAAGCAGATCAGTGACAGAAATAAACGAGAAAATCGATTAGTAGATTGATCGAACACCAAAGTCTCAGAACTGATTTCTTAACAATTGTATGGCAGAAATCAAGGAGAATTACTAATGAGATATTTGAGGTGAAAGGGTTCAGTGTTCTTTTTAAAGACTCTTCTTTCACCAATTTTAAACAGCCGACGGCTCGCTAGTGGCGATCTGTTGGTCGCTTTGTCATTCATACAGTGAGCTTCGTTGGCTGTAATAGATTGGATATGGTTTTGGCTTTCGGAAATCTCGGAAATTCCAGTGAAATTAATTATAGGCTAACACTCTTTGTGTTAACTCCAGCTGGGCACAAACATAACAAATTGTGTCCCGGCTAAAATTACATACCTGAGAGAAAATTAATATATCTGGTTAGGAATAGTTATTATTATTTTATAGGTACTTGCTGGCTAAAACATGTTTTTTCCTTGATATCTCAGTGTTAGACCTTCCCAGTTGAATATCAAAACAACATTCTGTACTTTCGGGCATTTACCAACATTAGTTCAGGCCCTGGTTAATTTGAAGGGTGAATGGTATAACGATATCCACCGAATTAATTTGCATCCAGTTGATAATGCAGGACCCTTTGTCGGCACTTATCCGTTAGGGAGCGGTTTATCGGTTGAAATAGCGTCATTAGCCCTTCGATCAACTTTGTGTTGAGTCTTCTTTAAAATAAAAACATTCCATTTCATCAAGTTTTTTCGAGAATTACTAGTCTGGTTGTTTTGTGTGTGTGCTATCAGCGACAGTATTTTTGTCGTCGTTTTCGGTGCCATTTTTAATTTTGTGTCATGGTTGTAGTAGGTTTTTTTTTTTTTTTAGAGAAACGGGCAGACTTGAGAAATAAAAAAAGCATTGTAAATTTGAAAGAAAGGACGGCGATTGTCATACTCTAGATGGAGGGGTGGGGGAAGGCGCAAGCTGCCGGGAAATTTAGACTAGGGTTGGGCCGCCAATGCCTTATAAACCTGTCAAAGAAAAAACGCTATTATAGAGTATGACTTATTCAGCACATTCTGACTGAATATTTCGAATAGGTTTTAAAAAGATGATTATTATTGCTCATGCAGACTGCGCATCGCCAACGCTAATACCTTTTGAAGGCCTTCAGTCTAAAGAAAGATACCTGTTCGAGAGCCCTGATAACAGGTTGTGTTCCCTGTTATACACTCAAGGCTCGGAGAACCATACCCTGTTTGGCGGCACAAATCATAAACGAAACAAAGGAGTGCCTCACCCCTCCCCACACCTCCCTCCCCCCTTCCCCTTATCCCTCTCTCAAGGTGAATATCTCGTTATCACGGCGTATCTTTACAATTGCTGCTCTTTTATTTACTTATGATGTCACTTAAGACGGACGAATTTCGCACAATTAGTTGTTTATAAGTCAACTCATTCTCAAATTATGAAGGAAGAGCCTGGGAACGAAATTGCGGTGGACTTTCAGGAGCGGCTTGATTGACGTTAATATTTTTCCTTTGTTTTTATTTTTCAGATCAGCACTCAAGCTAGGGTGCGGCGTTTTTGTATTTGTAGTTACTTGGATCCTTCTTGGACAAAATAGTGAAGAAACTGTGAACGAATCTGCAAAGAGACAGTTTACGGTAAGATTCAAAATTGAATTTCATTAAATCAAATGTCCAATGTGGTTTCCACTTCCACAGAACAAACACAGAACCTTAAAATGAAAATGTTCTTGTTTTTTTTTTTTGTTTTCTTGTTTTTTACTCGCTTTTGTTTCGTTTTCAGTATCAATCCATAATCGTCATGATTACCGGAAGCTTTTTCGCCTTTATTTTCCATTGGGGAGTGGAGGACGTCGATAACGCTACAGGTACTTCCGGTTCTCTTTCACATCGACTTCCGTTAACCTTACCTCCAGCTATCAAATGTTACGACTTAAAGTTCTTTTTGTTCTTTCGGACTACCACGTTTTAAGGCTGCAATCTGTTTGTGTTTGTTAGACATGTTTGTAACTTTAAGTTACTTCCCACCTTCGATGGTGCCCTTCGGGAAAAAATTCGTACGCGCGCTAGTTTCAAGAAAACCTTAACAAACTATACATCGAAAGAAAGCTTAATAAATGCTATTTACGATAAAAATGTAAGGCGATTTTTTCATTAAGGGAATGTCAGGAGCCGGTAAGGCGTGAAACGACCGAGGGTCCTTCTATTGAATTTATCAGGTATCGGATCCCGCACCACGAGCAAGATGGCTGCACAGTCTTATTCACTAGGCATCAATCAACAAAAGTGTGTGAGACATTTCCGATATTCTGATTGGTCTTCTACATATCCCCATCTAGAATTAGAGTAGCGTAAAATGTAACACTACGTAAATGAACACTCGGTAAATGAACACTACGTAAAAAAGTATTTCAAATATCAAAATTTCCTGACATTTTTCTAGTTTGTCATTATCCCTGGAATGTTTTGGCGAAATTTCACGGAAATCGGTCAAATCTACATACCCTAGAAAGTCGCTTAAAGTGGATGTGTTCCTCTCAAAATCAAATGCGAGGTTTTGGCTCCTAAAGGTTTTTAAACAACTAGCGCCACACCAAGAGATTCTCTCGCCTCCTGAAACCGCGAACCAATGGGAAGACGGGACCTACTGGTGTCAATGACAATGATGGATCGAGTTTTTTCCGGGAAAAGTATCGCATAGCACTCATGTTTTTTATCTCGCTCTGTTGAACGTTGATTCATGGGAAAAATTGGCGAAGGAAAAACCTGCGGCAAAAAAGGTAAAGCTGGAGAAACTGCTGAAAAGCAAAACAGCGAAACGACAGACAGCTTAAGTAATACCCTTATCGCTGAAATGACTTCCCTCGGTTAGGTTTATTCATGATTTCATACGATTCGAGGCGATTGCCTATGTTTTGTAGCAAGGCCGGTACTTGCTTATTAAAGGAATCTTCGTTTTTAACCTCATGTACGACAAATGTAGATTTGATGACGACTTCTTTGTTCGCAGTTTGGGTGCCAGAGTGGAGAGGAGTTCCAAGACTGTGTTTTTTTTTCCTGACAAAATGGTGCCATTTCTCTCTTCTTTGAGCCTGTTTTTTTCTTTTTCTTTGCCCTGGGTCTCCTCTCTGATTTTGATTTCTGTTTTTTATCGATGGGAAAAGACTTAACGCTAGCAAAGAACTTCTTCGTGTGAATTTGATTAACTGCGCGATGTAAACAAAAATTAGAAATAACACGAAATTGCTGCAAATATCCCCTAAGGGATTTGCCCATTTACGTGATTTTGACACCTTCCTGATTTATTAACTTTTATTTGAAAATGCGTTTTCCTAACTAAGTCGGGCGCTTTCTGAGATTTTAAAATTTTTATTTTTGTAAACGTTAGTTAAAATGTCTAACTTTAATCTAGTCCAATAAAAGAAAAAACGACTTTTTTCGGCCTCTGAAGGTTGGAAGTAACCTTAATGTGGTGAGCACTATTCGTTGTTCTTCCAAATAAGGAAATTTATCCTAAGTGTGACCTCTCGTTTCAGTGGAAGCTAAAGAAAATGAAAAACATTCGCAAACATCTTCAGCCAACGTCCCAATATGTGAGGACTTGGAAAAAAAAGCCCTCGAGATCGAGCTTCATAAGCAGGAAGAACAGGAACAGAACCAGAATGACGAAAAGAAAAACTGGATGAAATGGCTTAAAAATCCTGACTTTTATAAGGTATGAACGTTTTACTTAACCCTGTATGTAGTTATGGTTTTGAAAATCAACGCAAAGATAGTCTCCATGAATGGAAATCGGGGCATTTTCAGCGGTTAACAAACCCGAAGACAAGTTAAGACGAAGCGTTGGGTAATGAAAACGCTTTTGACAGAAAATGGACTCGGAGCTTGTTTTCTGATTGAAGAAGTTGTTGGAAGGAACATCACTCAGGGCGTTTTCCTTGTTGATGTTCCCAAGGAGAGTTTGTGCTGTTAGGTTATCGACACTTGGAGCTGCATATGTGACGTGAGATTCATGGCCGGGGTGAAGGCCATTCGTTTTCTGAGACTAAGACCCTTGTTTGTTTTAGTCTCGCCGACACCAAGGTTTACTTATCAAGTAAATATATCTTATTAACCAAGCGCGAGGGCCGTACTGGGAGAATATCGGCCCGAGGTCTTGACAGTACGGACCGAGCGCAGCGAGGTCCGTACAAAAAAGACCGAGGGCCGATATTCTTCCCGTACGGTCCCGAGCAAGCTTGGTTAATAAGAGATTTATGATACGACTGAAGTTCAAAGGGACACAAGAGCGGTGTCATTCGGGACAGTGCCCGGTCCAATACTGAGAGAATATTGGACCGGCAATACAGCATTTTGATTGGTTGATTTTAGTTTTTGGCCCTCTGACTGCCCGAGTCGTGTAATAAGTTTTCTTATCCTTTGCAGATTGTTATAATATACATGACGACACAGAATGTGGTTAATTTGAATCAGTCGTACTTTCCCATGTATCTAACGGAAACTCTTCACTTCCGGAAGGTAAAATAATCATGAGATCTGAAACTGTGACTGGAAAAAAAGGAAAAAGTCAGTCAGCACTTGTCAGGCTGTTCGAAATTATTGTAATACTAGCTTATTAAGCGTTGTGTACGGTGAGACTAAAGCAATCTGTTGGATTTTCCAACCATTTACCTTAATCCTTTAATTCCTAGAAGTGATTAACATGTAACTTCTCCTTATAATATCAATACATGATCCAGCATAAAGGTAGTGAGAATACTCAAACTAATCAGGTAGAAGAGAAGGGATGTGGGAGGGGGTCAATAATCGACCGACACTCCCGCAGTACTCTTCGCGGCTTGCTTCACGCTACAGAACGCGGTATAAGATCCAGTGATATAGGTCATTCAACCCGAGTGCAAGACTTGAACTTTAGTGGCAAAGTTAACTTTTTTGTCTTTTATTCTCAACAGGAAGCCATTGCATATTTTCCATTAATGATCCTGATTAGTGGAATTCTCATGAGCACAGTGATGAAGAGATTAAACAGGAGCTTCTCAAACAGGGTAAGTTGACGATTGAGATTATCTTCGCTCATCTTTATTGGTTGGTGTTATTACTTTTGGGAGAATACGATCATCCATCTCCTGTTGTGATCTTTGAGCTCGGGTCACAAGAGTTTCTGCTTCCTTACCATCTAGGTAAACATTCGACGAAATATCTTCGGTGAGAATTCAAGCCGACTGCCAACGAAATCTCGTCAGGAAAGATTTAGTGAACTCTCAGCGGAAGTGCGTCTCTTCTCAAAGGAAGCAACAGAAGAAACCTGTTTCACCCCGTAGAACGTTAATATAGGAGCCCTGGAAACTCCTAGCCACGCCCTTAGTTTTCAGTTATTTCTTGCTAACTCGCTTTACCAACCCCACCCCCCCCTCCCTTGTTCTTGTTAGACGCCAGTGAATGAATGTCACTAGTACAGAACGTAGGATCTTACATCCACTCGCATGTATGTACAGACAAGTAACACTGCTTAATCATGGTTGCCCCTCAGGTTTTGTTTTGTGTTGGTGCGGTCATTGTTATTGGCTGTGCCACTTGGTTCTACTTCACACCTCAGTCAAAGAGACAAATGATCTACGCACCCACAATCATCATGGGCTGTGGAAACTCTATGATGCTTGTGACTTCATTAGCCATGGTAGCAGAGATCATTGGTGACGATAAAGTAAGTGTGTGATCTGCCATTTCTTTTCACTTCCCTGTTTGTACACATGGCACTACACCTCCCCTCGGATCTCTCAGCTTCAGAAACGTGGAATAGTTCCCGTGGGAATTTCCGTTGGTTTTGCACAGAGTAGCCAGGTCTCGACGGAGTAAACCCTATGGATGCCTGACTCCATCTGCGCATGCTTTATGTGTTATCGCATTCTGGGATAAGAAAAAAGCCTTTTAAAGCCAATCTGGTGAATTTTCCTCTTGATATCGGGATGTTTCGCCCAACTTCGCTTCCACCGCAACTAGGTGCCCTATCAAAGTTTACAATTTCGCTTCCACCCTGACCAAATCGCCCACAAAGCTGTTGTATTTAATCGGAGCGTCTTTGGTTCGATTTAGTATGGAGAGAAAAGTACCTAAACCTTCACTGCTGTGTTCAGAAGGGGACTGGGTGTGAGCCTTCGTATTCATTCCAACTTAAGAGGAGCACACATAGTTCTTCCATGGTGTGCTGTGGTACGTGTTTTTCTGACATACCCTTTCTTTCGTCTACAGAAATCTAGTGGTTTTGTGTATGGTGTGTGTGCTCTAATGGATAAAGCATCGCTTGGTTTTATAGTTCTCGCCCTGCAAGAAAATTATCCCGAGACAGAAGGGTGAGTTGATTTGGTGACCCTTATAGATCTGATTCCTTAAACTTCCTTCGAGCAGCTATATATTCCCTCGAAAACTGTTGAAGAGAATTTGGTGTGTTATCAAGATAACCTCCTGTAAGAAACACTTGACTCGTTACATTTTTATTCATGGTGCATATTTTAACACAGTTTCTGATATTATCCAGGGCATGTGGCGAGCCTTGTGCCCAGTACCTCAGAGGCGCCTTCTCGGTATTCCCTGGGATTGAAGCGCTGCTTGCTTTCCTGATTGTGGCTCTTTTGTACCGTAAACCTGCCACAGACACTAAACGACGAATGACAAGTAAGTATAGGGAATAAATGTCCTTTTAACAGTTAGCTGCTGCGCATCTTAAAGGGTGTTCGATGAATGAGACGAGGAGAGAGGCTCTCATATAACGTAAGATAGATCGTCAAGGAGCAGTTTTTGGGACATGTTCTGTCATTTAGGGGTGTCATAGTGTATTATAATGACGAGTTATGGTTAGCGTAACCATGAGGGGTGTAACATTTTAGTTCTCTCTTAGGCCACACCCTTGACCACAGTCAGCACCTTTAAGGTTCCACGGCATACCAACTGATTGTTTGGATTTAACCCTTCACAACCTAACATCAGTATGCATATTCTCCATACTGTTCTCTATACATTTCTTAAGGTGCCGACAAGGAGAATTTGTTTAACAATCAAGAGCTTCCACAGTTGGTGATCGTTCCCTTTATTCACCTGACCTTAATGTGTGATTCACGGGTGATATTGTAAGGAGAAATTAGATGTTAATCACTCTAAGGAGTCAAAGAGTTAAGAATACACAATTCCCCTTCATAGAGCTATATTTCAAAATTTCGTTTTATAGGTTTCTAATCTTTTTTTTTTTTTTTTTTCAGTCTTAGCTAAAGACTTCTACACGGATGATATCGACCTAGAACAATTGCCTTATCTAAAAGCCACTGAAGTATAACGCTGCAACTATCGACTTTACTTCCGGTTCACGTGATAAGTGTTTGTTAGAATATGATAAACTCGTGCGACTAGCAAAGCGGGAAGTGATTGTGAGTAGCTTAGCCGAGGACCCAAGCAGAGCCCTCTTTACTGACCAGCGAGAGAACTGAGAACTAGTTTCGGGAAAACAATTGAACTGTCAATGGTGACTTTGTTGGTTTTTCGTTGTAGAAGAACCATAATCATAGTTATTTTTAAAATTCATAAACAAGATCGTTTTAAAAAAATTATTATGAAGTTTATTTATACAATGCAGAGAACTTATAGCAAAATAGTGACATCCACTTTCTGAAAGAAAGTAATTTTTTAGATTCCATTAATCCCTGAAAATATTTATACCATGGGAATTGAAATCATACTCGACGTGGTTAGGAAATTTTAAACTCTAAAGGGTTTTAGCTTAATAAATGCCTACATCAATCAAATACAAAATAATATAATTATTTTTTAATCCAAACCATTATCTCACGGGGCATTCGGTCATAACGATGTTATTTCTTCGGTTTGTTTTCATGCCATTTAAACTATCTTTTTATTTTGAAAACACTTTTTAGAACACGTCTGTTAATAAACTGGAGCGGGTTCTACTATCAGAGTGTTTAATTTCTTGTCGATATGATAGCCTTTTTTCGATGTAACACACAAAACTTTTGGTGGAACTTCAATGTTAACGTGTCGTGTAGGCCTTCTCTCCCATTCAATCTCGAAAAGAGACGAAGAGTCGGTTATACTCTCAACCCCTTCGGAGCCACTCTTTGAAGTGACTCTTGCATAGAGTACACAACAGAATTCAAAGAACAGTAAAAGGCATAGGTCATGGTCAAACTTTACCATCCATTCTTATCTGGCCAAACACTGCCTTGATCAAACAATTACTTTTCTCAAAGGGATTATTCTTATAGGAGCTTTAAAAAAAAATACATAACACTTTTTATGCATAAAAAAGGTTTCAGTAACTTGTCAATCACACTTATATAACGGCTCAAGTCGCACCGTGCGACTCGAGCAATGTTTAGCACGCCAACAAAATATCTTTGATCAATTAGTTTGCTTTGAGGCTTTTCTCTTGGCCGAGAGCTTAGCCGCACTTTCCAAACGCCCTGAGAAGCAGGAAGTTTGTGTCTCGTTTGGACTCGATAAAAGTTAAGTGAAAACTGAAGTCATTCTTAACCTAAAGAAGTTGTCTTGCTCTGCAAGTCCTATGACTTGAATTACCTTACATACTGAGATCAACATACGTGGACCTTTACCCACTGTGGATTGGCGACACGCATCTTATCATTGATATCGGTCAAAGATATCAGTTCAATTAATCAATAACTGTCCAAACCAGTTGCAGGTTCCGACTCATAATAGGCACCTTAAGCAAACCACGACGGCGACGGCAATGAGGACATGGAAAAACAAAAGATCTAATTGGCAGAACAATAGCTCAGCATGTGCGTTTTAAAACTTTGTACTTAAGAATAATTGGTCCCTAATAATTTATCCTTAGCACTGTACGAAGCTGAACTTATGCTAGGAACAATTGACAAAAATAACAGGAATACTTAGGAGTGTAGTCGGCCATCATCAGTTCGCGTAAACGTCAGAGCGAATGACAAGTGGCTATCGCTCGAAACGTCAGATTTTAACTCTTTACGTTGGCCAATTTATAATTTCAATTTTATAATTTTTTTGGCACTTTTTTTTTTTTGATAAAACCAAATTATCCAGCATAGTAGTTGACGATATATTAAAATTTTTGTTTAGTTTTACAGTATAGAATATGGAATTTCCAATAGGATTAAGATTTAAAGAACGGATAACGGCCAAGGTTTTATATCAGTGTTCTACATTGTCTTCTCACAACTTTCCACCCATTTTTATTTGGTATTACCTTGCCATATCTCGAAAACCAATACTGTAATCAATTTCATGTAACGGCATAACTTGCACGAAACGTTTATCGCGCCATCAAAATCAGGCTCTTCTATCGACCTGTTTTGTACCTTTTTTGTACGACCGCTTTGCACAATAGCGAGCTAAGCCATAAACTCTCCAAAAAGCTGAAATCTAGTATCTCTTTTTGACTCGCTAAAGGTCACAGTACTATTAGTGTTGCAATAAGCAACGCTTTTTTTTCTTTTTTAAGACATTCCTCGTTCAATTTGTGAAGTGATCAGTCTTAAAATCCGCAACTCCTAGTCCTTGATTACCTTATATAGATCAACTAAAAAGTTAGCGCAAACTTGCGAATTTGGTCTCCAACCAGAGTATCGGAAATCGTTACTATGACAACTTAAGGTTTCAGACGAAGAAAAAAAAAATGCCTGAACAACACGCTACAAGGAAGACTAGTTCGAACTTTAGCTCAATGTTTTGGTTTCCTTCTTGGATAAAATGATCTACACGTTGATTTTCCCAGGTTTGTCTTTCGGGACCCAGTTTTCGAAGCCATTAAACACCTCTTAACGCCAGACATTCACCCACCCATCAAGTAAAAACTTGACTATGTAGAAGGAAAGACACAGAAATATGAGATTTGATCCCTCTTTCACTGTCTTGTATGCAAAGGTACAATGAGTGGTAAAAATCTTGGCTCACTCTAGTACTTTTTGAATTTTTTATAACTTTCATTTATTTCCCCCTTTTCTCTCCATACAATGTTACCTGGTGTTAACAGAACGTTCACCAATTTACACCCCAAGTATTCCTGTTATTTTCCGTCAATCATCCGAAGCATAAGTTCAGCTTCGTTTAGTGACAAAGATAACTTAGTATCAGTACCTGTAAATCAGCTAATTAGGACAATCATTGATTAATTGAACTGATATCTTGGATCGATATTGATAAGATACATGTTGCGAAACTACGGCGTGTAAAGAGTCACGTACATGCAAGTATCCTATCATCAAAAATCGGTTAGCATCGTTAGCAACGTTAAACGATATGAATGATAAGACTGGTGTCGCCAATGCACGTCAGGCAAGGATGCACGAACATACAATGAGTGAGGGAGTGGAATGGAAGAGGGAGGTGTAATGGAAGAGGGAGGTAAGGCAACTGCATTTGCGAGTAAACAGAAACCGTGTAATTCATCGACTACATGTATTCAGAATTCTCGTTAGCGTTCTTATTTGATAACAATAGAAATGTTTACCCTTTTCCTTGCTATGGATTTAAGGAAGTAATGTTGACCAGTTTCATCCCTAGGTACTCCTGTTTTTTTTTGTTTTTTGTTTTTGTTTTTTTTTGTCAATTGTTCGTAGAATAATTTCAGCTTCGTACAGCGTCAAGGTTAAGTTATGTATCGGGGCCTGTAAACCAGCTGTTGGAACAGTTATTGATTAATTGAACTGATATCTTAAACTGATATCAATAATGAGATACGTGTTGCCCATCCATAGTGAAAAAGAGTCACGTAGGTTTTATCAACGAGTTTGCGCAGAACTACTTAGTTGATCTATATAAGGTAATTCAAATCATAGCACTTGCATATCTGAAAGCAGACAACTACACAAACAGAACAAGACAACTTCTCTAGGTAAGGAATGTCGTTTTTTAAATAACGTTTAACTTAATTACCCGTTGTAACATCAATAGTTCAATGGCTGTAATTGCCCGTTTTCACTCCAACTCGGTTTAGCAAGTTGAAGAAACAAGATTTCTACTTCTCAGAGCGATTAGAAAGTACGGCTCAGTTTTCTCAGTTGTCTAAACTTCCGAGAATAAAGCTTCAAAGCAAATTGATAGATTGAAGAGATTTTGTTGGCGTGCTAAACATTTCTAAACATAGTTAAACATTGCTTAACAATGACCTGCTTTCTTGATCAAGGCAGTGTTTGGCCAGATAAGAATGAACGGAAGACTTCTGAGAAAAATTAAAACTGAATACCGTGTCGAACATAGACCTTTTCTGCTGTTCTTTGAGTCTTTATCCTATTGTATACTCTATGCAAGAGTCACCTCAAAGAGAGGCTGCGAAGGAGGTGATTTCATTATGCCATAATTTTTTCAACTTTGTGCCCTATTTATAAATAGAAAGTAGTGCCTCTGTTTATCTCTAGAAACTTGTGAAAGATCTTGGCCCTCAAACCGTCCTTTTCTAGACGATAAAAAAAGAAATGAGATCAATTTCGCGTTTGATTTTTTAGCATGTAAATAAAAATTGAAATGTTGTTGTTCGGTTGATTTCGTTTGCTTACTTATCTTTGCAGAAGTCTCCTTTCGGTCCTATCATTGAAATGATTATTATCATTATTATTAGTATTATCACCATCATCATAATGGTTGTTTTATATCATTATATTATTATGGGAGAAGGGAGGAAAATTGCTAATAATTTATTCTGTAATACAGGACAGTTATCATGGCTTCCATACTCCATTATATGACACTGTTGTTGTGCGCTGTGGCCCTAAGTGAAGGATGTTCGTGCAGGCCGACATCCCCACCAGCACAAGAAATCTGCATTGCAGACTTCGGTGAGATAATTCTTTGGAACTGTTGTGTTTCAAGTAGACTTTATTCCCTTAGTCTGTAAAGACTTCCTATTTAATCCTCAGACCTCCTCGCACACTACAACAATACGAATTCAACTTAGAAATTTTCTGAGAGTCTTTGCGAACCTCGCTGAATAAGTAGGTCCAAGAAACCTTATCTTCTTCGCGAACCTCGCGCGCTCAACCGTCTCAAGGACCTCGAGTAAGATCGTACAGATTATAGAATAGCGTATAACCTAAGCGAAAGCCTCAGTTGAGATTCAAAATTTTCGAACGTTATGTTGCTAAAATCAATAACGCGTATCATCATATGACCCGTTCGGCCCCGTTCGCGCAATCACATGGAAAACCATAATGAAAGCTGACGTGTGCAGGGCGGGACAGGTGGACGTAAGACGGTCCAGAAGAAGCCGTCCGGCCCTGCTGCCGTCACTTCTGTCGCCTTGCTAAGTACTTTCTGAGTGTGTTTTACTCGTACAAAGTTGTGCTACGTACACGTCATTATTATGGTACTTGATTCTTTCAACAGGTATCAAAGGCAAGGTTTTGTTGAAGCACCAACCACAGATAACTGATACTGCTTACCCGTCTGGCCTAGTGACTTACAGAGTCAAAGTTTTGAAAACCTTCAAAGGATCGGCTAAAGTGAACGGGTTTGTTAATGTCACAACTCCAGCCACTGACAACCTCTGTGGGGTGAAACTTGAACCCAATGAAACTTACGTCCTGGTCGGTAGAAAACATTTGCAAATCGGCTTGTGCGACTGGCATAAACCATGGAAACATGATATGGAGAAACAAATCCAGGACGCTCAAAAGAAATGTGATTAATTGTTGTTATTGTCAGTTAAGTTCGCTCGGTCAGTTGTAAACCAATGATGGGAAATATTGTAACCCTCTTTAATTTCAGGTGTTGGGAATAAAGTGTGTATTCACCTAAAAGGCTCTTTATCGTCTCTTGTGGTGAAAAATATAAAGGGGAGGATCGGTGTATTTCAAGTGAAAAATCAAGTCTGCCTCAAAGTGTGTCAGAGTTCATTACGTAGGGACAAGATTTCGCGCCGAGATATTAGACACAGAGCTGAACTTAATGCATGGTAGCAATTTTAGTAAATTAAATTCTTAGTAAGATAACGGTTTTTAGTCAAATCTTTCAGCAGTGGAAAATCTGTTTTTCTTTCGCTCAGAGTGCGAGAGCATTTCCAAGTATGAGTTCATTTGGTAGTTGCCTTCTTATTTTCAAATCCAAATGAAACATTGGTCGGAAAAATGGATTGACCAAGAGTACAGGAGGCGTGGCCGAGATGGTTGGGGTCCTGGAATTGTAGTCTGGTGTACATCTGGTTCAAGTCCTCCACTCTGCCACTCACTGGATTTGTTCTCGGTTGCCCCGAGTTCAACTCCTCGGCTGCTCTGTTTAGTAAATAGGCCAGCGGTCTCCCTCCTACCAGTAATGATTTTCAAGCACTTGCAGTCTCAGCTCGAAGATATTAGCTCGTTAGCTACTCTAAAATTCGAGTATGAATAAAGTTTATGTTGTGTTATGTTACTGTGCGTTGGACCGCCGCGCAGATATGAAATAAACAAATATACAAGCAAACAAACAACAAGCTGCCCTTTGTAGTTACTATGAGGACAAGAAGGGTTTTAGCACTTGTTTGCTTTTACGACGGCCAATCAGAGCAAAGTCGAAAATTATTTCAAGGTGAACTTACCGTCCTTACTTGGTCTTTGGGGCTTTGACCCAACTGATAAACGAAGATGGATATCAGGTACTGTTATGAAACCAAGTCGCCACACATTAGGCCTGATAATATGCTGGAATATGCAGTTTCCCATTGGCTGTCGATGATACGTTTACCTTTTCAATTTGCGTTATTTTTTAAACTATTTTTTACACTTTTGAATTTTAAGTAATTATTTATTTATTCGGCATGAGACCTGTTCATATTTCCAGTTTCCATTCCTCCGACATAAAGGCCCCATGTCGTTAAAAGATCAATTTCCTTTCATTTTGCGATTCAATGCCCCTTTTTTCTCGCATGACATCTCTCTGTTTCTCTTTCCAGTGGAACCTGATTTTTCTACTGAAGTGCGCCCTATCTTTAGTTTCATCAGTTTCAAGTAAAACAGACAATAGGGACCTTAAGCAAACCACAACGGCGACAGCAACGAGGACGCGGCAAAACAAAAGATCTAATGGGTAGAACAGTACCTAACAAGTGTGTTGTAAGACTTTATACATTTCTTAACCGTCCCCTGCAAAACAACAATGTAGAATCACATAACAGAAGCCCCGACGGCAAGTTATTGAAAGCTTCATTTAAACAGCCTTTAGGTCAGGGTGTTATACACGCTTTATTCCTAACATTTGACAAAATCATGAAAAGGTTTTACAAACCGTATCAAGGGCTATTGAACCATCAAAGAAAATAATATCCCATCGTTCGCTTACAACCGATCTAGCAAACTTAACTAACAATAACATATTGAATAATCAACATTTCTTCTTGGCCTTGCGGATTTTTTCCCTCGTTTCATCTTCTACAGCTCATACCAGTCGCACTTCTCGATTTCCAACTAACCGCTGCTGCTTCTACCGGCCAGGAGGTAAGTTTTTTCGAGGTTAAGGTGCACCCCACAGATACCTTCCTTCATTGGCTGGGGTTCTTAGCTCAATAGTTTCTTTATCATCAAACGATCCTTTAAAGGTTTTCAAAACTTTGATTTTGTAGTTCACTGGGCCAACCATCTGAAGGTCATCCGCATCAAACGTCGCTGGTTCGGACTTCTTCGAAACCTTGGCTTTGATAGCTGTTGTAAAGAAATTAAAAATACTTTAATGAAAATGTAGCAGAGAATGTGACTTTCTAAAATCGCAGCCCCACTGATTGATAGATGACGTAACGTGTTGCAACTGACCCAGGAAAACTTGGCAAGATTCAATTGTACTGTGCAAATGAGATAACGTAACTATAACGAAAATCAACCGATAGACATAAACCGTCAAAAATGATTAATTGAAAACTTGAAAAGAAGAGTGAAAGTGACACAGAAAATGGTTCTATGAATAAATGCATCTCAGGAGGTGCTTGGCAAAAGGAACAATGGAAAACAATGATCCCTGCATAATTTTGGCGGTGCCAGAAAATTTGAGAACTTGCCGCGTATCATCTGAAATCAGATTCGTGTCAACCTTGAATGATTTTGTACATTTTTAAGCCGTCTGAGAAACTTTTGTTCCACAAAAAAAAGAGTACTGAGGCTTTTTTAAAACGCAAAAGTTGCCAGGGTATCGAAATTGTGTTGTCGGCGTATGTAAGGTTGCTCTTTAAAATCCTCAAAAGCTCTTTAATTGCTGCGGTAAAGATTGTATGGTTTCTGGAGCAAGCTCTTCCTCTGTGAAACGTAAAGTAGGTTACTGCACATGCTAAGCCGACCGAGTAAATGAATTAGATTTGAAACTAAAAAATTTCAAAGTAGATGATCTCGCCATAGTCTGCAGCGCAGAAAAGTAGCTTGTGTAAGTGCTTCTGAGGATCTTCCCAGCCTTCCGATAGCGGTGGCAATAGGCACGGGCACTTCTCACTTAAGGCCACAGCATATAGCAACAGCATCATTAACAGAGTATGGAAGTCATGATAACTCTCTTGTATTACAGAAAAAAATATTAGCAAGCTTTGGAATGCTTCACACAAATGCTCACCATTATGAGGAAGATTGCAGTGCAAGTTTTCAGTTTTGGTCCTGATTTTTGAGATCAGTAATTGCCGTCCAAAATCCACGCTTTTTTGTGTGTGGGGGGCAAAAGGTTCTTTTGTTTTTCATTATTTATTTCTTTGGATTATATTATCCTCAGAAATTTAAGAGTAAGGTAGCAGCGATATTTAATCCGGTATTTGGACCAATTGCAACCCCAAACTCTAACCGAGTAGGCCATGAGCTGATCATTGTGCCCTGGTCAATGCAAGAGGATACTTTAGCCGCATCTCACGTTTGTGATAGGCCCTATTCAGAGGAGGGGTGGCCATCGGCCCACAATCCTTTGCGAAACCTAATATATTATCGTTTTTCCTGACGTCATCATTCGCTTGTAGCTGGTGTGTTGTAAACATGCCGAACATGTAAACATGGCGTCGTTTCAAAGCGTATCTAAGAATTTGGCGGAGAGTTTGCAAAATTCACGTCACGTTTTGAATATTCACTGCCTTTCTAAAGATGACTATATAATTCGTCTGACTAGTCTGATGTGTTTAGACCTCGTAAGCATAGATTTAGCTCACTAGACCGAGATCAGTGTGTGAAAACGCGGCCGCCATTTTGCAAATTGACACCGCAAGGTAGTGTGGGACATACACCACTCCTCCTCTGGCCTCTCCTATGGTACATTTCCTCCCAAAAGTATTCTCCGGCGGTGAAGAAAGGGTCTCAGAGGGGCAATGGTTTTTACGGCTAAAGGTTAAAATTTTAGCCATTTCAAGGCTAACAGTTAACTTTCTTTCGACTATCGATCAAAACGTTGTCAAATTTTACGCCTAGCGGTTAACGCTTGACCCCATGGAGACCTTCAGAAGGAAATAAATATGCAAACTATCAAATTTTCTCTTCTAGATCATGTAAGATTATCTAGACTCGAAGCTGACCATGTTTCAAGGTGGACTTACCTGATCTGGTAAGGTAAATTTGGCGATGTGACTCAACTAATCAACGAT